ATAATTATATATAATTATAACTATAATTACATTTATTATGATCATTTATTTTTTGGTTTTCCCTCGAGTTTTCTCCAATTGTCCAGCTTTCCTTCTCATCCGACGTCACAACAAACGTAGCCATGCGTGCTCCTGGTTCGAGAATTTACGCAGGACGTGAATCGGTTGTAAGAGGAAGGAAGATGGCGGATAACAAAGGCGATGAGGATATGGAACCGCCAGCTAATCCGGATTCAGTACCTACTGCCATGGCCGAAGAGCAATTAAACAAAAATAGTGGCGATAAGGTAGTAATTATAGAAGCGGATTCGAAGCAAGATGGAGAAACCGAGTCCCAGAAAGACGCTAACGTGGAGCCTAGCGCCACCACTGAAGGAGAGCACGAGAGCAGTGGCGGGGCAACTGAGGCTACTGCCGCCGCTCCCGCTCCCGCTGCTGTTGTTGCGGCGAGCATCTTAACTGAAGCCGACGGTAGCGTTAGCAATGTTGCTAGCCCGGCTGAGACCATTAGCGCCAATCCAGAACCGTTAGCAACTGAAACAGCACCCGTTGCGGATCCTCCAGCTAGCGGAAACACGACGGAAACATCTCCGGCTTCAGCTGCCCCGGCGGCGGCGGCCACCCCGGTACCCACTCCCATTAGTTTACTGGATACGTGCGCTGTGTGTAAACAAAGTCTTCAGACTCGAGACTGTGAACCAAAACTTTTGCCCTGTCTGCACTCTTTCTGCCTAAAATGCATCCCGCAACCGGACAGACAGATAAGCGTTCAGGTGCCTGGGCCACACGGGCAAACGGATACGCATATAGGTGAGTGTTTCTGGTTCAGGGATCCAACTGTTAACCAGGCCCACTGTGAAGTATAACCAATGGAAGGACTCTGTAATGACATGTCAGTCAAAACAATCGGTTTCAGTGCTTTATGTTAGTAATTCAAGTTAACCACAGGTTTAGATTACTGTTTTTACGCTTTGATTGTATTAAAAAAGTGACCTTACTATGACCATTGGGTGTTTGTCAAAGACACCGAGGTGTTGTCATCATAATATCATAGATTCAATGTAAACTGATTGCACAAAAATTAACAATAACAAACGTCAGGGGTTTCTCCCTCCCTGCAGTGCTGCAGTGACTTGGGATCCATTAAGTAGTTGGTTAGACGATGGCATCACATGGCAAGATGTAGGTTCTGCAAAGCCATTAATGATAAAGCAGAAAATCAGAGTAATCCATTATATGGTTTATTGCTTCTCATTTTTTCAGTATGCATATCTTAAAAAAATTGCCTCCACTGCAGTACTTCATAGCCATTAAGCTATCATCACTCAGCTGATCACACTTGTTATTCAATCCCAATTAAGAAGGTTTAGAGGTGTTAATGTGGTCAAGTCATTGCAAGATAACAGCAAAGTTGTTTCTATGCCAGAATAACAGGTTTGAGACAGAAGCAGTTTCTCAAATGAAACCTTGGTGTGATTGAAATAGGATTTTCTTTTACCGCTTGCTAGATTTAATTTATTCTAGGGCTGCAATTTAAGATTATTTTGCTAATAGATCAATCTGTTGATTATTTTTTTCAATCAGTTGATTATCGGACCGCAAAAGGTTCCTTGGAAGAAGATTTTCTACATAATTAAACCTGGTGAAACAAAGCTTCTCAATTTGAGTTCCAATAAAGCAGTTTTTTTTTAATCTTACATGCAAAATGTTTATATTTTTTTTCAATTTTGGTATAATTACTGCTCTAAGTCAGTTGCTCTGTCAGCTAAAGGCATGTTTTAGTCTCTAAACCCCAGTGATCGATTACTAAAGTAATTGACGATCATTTTCATAATCGGTTAATTATGATCAGATGAATTGTTTCAGTTTTAATTTTTTTATTATTTTGAAATAGTAGCTGAAATATGCTAATGCTATTTATATTTTTATTTTTCACAGGTATATTGTTATCACATTTAGCAGTAATTTCATTATTTTTTTTCCCTTCTATCGTTTAGGTATAGTATTGATATAATTAACAAATAAGTGATCAGCTAATTTTTAGATGGAGTGGTTTAATGACATGCAAAGAAAATGCTAAAAAGAAAAAAAAACAATGCTGCAATTATTAAATTGATTAGACACTAAGCTCTTCTACAATTTCCTTGTAATTATAGACATAAGGAAAAGTTTAATATCATATGCTTTAATGTTGTTTGCACTGGTTTTCTCTCATATTTTGTTTTGCTTAACAGCTACCTCATCTGTCAAAAAACCTGCAACAGGTTTTCTGACCTCGATTTGTTAATTTCCTTAGAAATCAGACCTAAAAGAAAATCAGAAATGAATATCGGACAGGAAATTGCTGATTGGTGCATCTTACTTCATGTTGTGGGCTTTATACTGATTTGACTCGTTACTAACCTCTTTTAGAAATGTGCACGGATCAAATGTTCTGCTTTGCCTTTGAGACTGGTGCATTTTTGGAAAGCATGATTGTTAGTTGCTGGGCAGACATCCAACAAGTCTGTCAGCTGCAGTTCAGCTGAAGTCTTCAGGAGGTCAGCCATTCATTTTTGATATTTCAGCCAAAAGATGTTTTTTTCCAAAAAGAGTTGAAATAAATAGAATCAAAACACTAACATGAACCAATATCTTGTATATCAATTCAACAAATGTAAGTGCAACCTTAGAGGTGCGTTTCAGGGTTTCATTTTCTTTTGCAGCAAATTTAACAAAAAATATTCCTTATATCTTGATTTGATAAATACTTTTACCATTTTACATCTTTCAATGAGGAGTAAATAGTGTATGCAATAAAAAAATGAATAGGCTGTGTGGTTGTGTTTTACTGTGCTTATCTATTGCTTATTCTTCTAATAGAATATCTTTCCATCAGAAAGGTTATTTTTTTAAATCCCAATTTAGATTTTTGCAGAATTTATTTTGGATAGACAGTTGTGTTCTAGTCAAATCTAAAATAAGTTTTTAGATTTTCTTTCAGCCCTCAATCTTATTTAATAACAATGATGCAAAGTCTCTTAAAAGTAATATCCGAAAATGATTAGTTGAACATTTCACCATTGGATAGTTGAATTTGTGATGTGTATTTTCTGTAACCAGTTTAAAGCATTTATTAACAGGACTTGACATAATGGATTAGAGATTGTTGTATAATCTGCTGGTGCAGAACATTTAACTTCACTACTTATTGGTTACATTAGGCCATGTGCTTTACTAACTAAAACATCTGGTTAATAACACATGAACAGAATTAATGATTACTAAACACTTGGATGGGAGGTTGTGATTTCAGGTCATTAGCTTGATCTTAATATTCTCAAACACGATTATTTTCAAAGTATTCGGATGGTTATTTACTACATTATCTCATACCTTTTAGAGATGAAGAGATTGCTGCTGTTTGAGCTGGTACACTTTATGCTATCTTTTTTATTTTTACTGGCTATGGATATCTGTGAGGAGATTCCCATGAAAAATAATCTGACATAATATAAAACAAGTAATTCTCATTTATGTTCTCCTATTGAAATCCTGAGAGATGTGGAGTTAATAGGGAAACTAATCTTCTTTTATATATGCTTTCTGCTGAGAAAAAGCTTTTGTCAGCCTTAATAGGTTTTTATTTTATTTTTTTATTTAAGTTGTTTAAGGCTTTACTAAATATGGTTAAAAAGGAAAAGAAGTTGGTAAACTCTGTGGTTTTCATGTTGTAATTAACTGAAAGTAACCATGGATACTAAGCTTTGTCACTTTGGAAGATGAAAGGGATCTTATCTTGGCTTTTGAGTTTTCAGCCTTGATTTTATCTGCTAGCTGTAGCCTCTAGCACAATTATAAATGGGGACACAATTTGGCTAACCAGTTCCCTGATTTAATCTTAATAAATTATTTCTGGTATAAATGTACCATAGCTCAGAACCCCTGAGCTACTGTTTGAAAAAGGGTTTTAATTGTGCACGACTTAGGAATATGATGCAGAGGATGGAGAGCTTCATTTCAGAGCTACATATGGGCTGGCACATGTGCACCCTGGGGGGGTGGGTTGGGGGGGAACCTAAGCCTGAATCCAGTCCAGCTGCTTTCACTACTAACCACACATGGGGACCCATGCAGCTGGAGCTGACACAAACCGGCTGTGTGCTGTTCAAGTCAGTGTAAGCCAGTTCAAACCAGATAGAACCAGTTCCCACCACAGATGGCTGGCTTTTTTTAACGCTGGTGGGGGTTGGGATTTATTGGTTTATGAGGTATATAAGGGGTAAAATATTCCCTCAACTTAATTTAAAAAGCCTACAGTTTATCTTGTGACTTAATTGGAATTAAGAGACAAAGTTAAAACACTAAACGAATTATCTCTCGGCGCCAGTAATTGTGCCACTGATTCATGTAATTTCATTAAGGGGGTTGAATAAAGTGATTAAGTGCTGCAGCCATTGTTTTTTTTTTGTTGCATGATTTAATATTCCAATAAAAACGTCAAGGATGATGAGATTGGATTTTTCGGGAAATCGAACCTAAATCGATTAGCTCCCATGAATAGGCAGTCATTTCTCACTGCACTAGGAATTTTCATTAAAATCAGTTTAAGGAAAGGAAACTATGGAGATTTGGAAAAAAGGCTGGAGAGGTGATCTTCGTCTTTAAAGGAGCACTGATTTAATTAACTCAGGTATTAGTTTATATGGATTTCAGTCTGCTTCAAAAGAGTATTTATTTCATAAATCCTAATGGTTGAATCAGAGTATCAGATGCTTAACTTGAACCTTTTGTTTTCTCTCTACAGTAAATGTTATGAGATGTTCGGTTTGCCACCAGGACTACAAACAAAGCGACATTATTGACAACTACTTTGTCAAAGACACAACAGAAGCTACCAGCACATCTGATGAAAAAACTGCACAGGTGAGCCAAAAGCTGACTGCATGGCTGTCTGCGCATCTCTCTGTTTGCCAGCATTTACGTTAATTAGGAGGGATTCTCTGATAGTCTTACAAGATGAACTATCAATCCATTAATATTAAAAACAAATATTAGTATAATAATCAACCCATTGCTTCTTATTCTAGAGCATCTCTAAAATCAGTAGAAAAATACTTATTTATTACTCTGTTAAACATGATGCGTAATATTGCTGTCCTGCTGTCAACAGGGTTTTAGAGCAATGGCATGTAGTCTGCAGTATGTGTGGTAATGCTAGTTTCATTTTGATTTCTTAAAAACAAGCTAATTGTGTTGTCATTCCTTCGATCTTCCTAAGGTGTGCACAAGCTGTGAAGACAATGCTGGGACTGTCGGCTTTTGTGTGGAGTGTGGCGAATGGCTGTGTAAAACGTGTGTCGAGGCCCATCAGAGAGTGAAAATTACCAAGGACCACAAAATTCGTACAAAGGAAGATGCGGATGCTGCCGCTGGTAAGACAATATAATGACTCTTTAACAGCTTCCCACAGCCTGAGACAGAAAGTCTTTGTGTTGGTGTTTATTGGGCAGTACTCGTAGTGCTGATGCGGTTGTTGGAGAGGAGATTAGGCTGATAAAACGGCATTCATCATGAAATTATCAAGATTTGAACATTAATAGTTTTTTTTTTTCTGCTGGGTGGTCGTCTGACACCAATACAGAGCACACAAGTTTAACAAAAAAGATGGTCTTCTGTTGCTGTTTTAAAAAGATGTTTTTTTATGTTGGCTTAGAACAGGTGTTCCCAAATCAGGCTGCACACCTAGTTGGTGGTATATTTTTTTCAGGATAATTAAGGCATGGCTTCTAAGATGTATTGGGGGGACAGAATGAATAAATGTATCATGGCATGGAGAGTCAACGTTGTAATATTTTGACAGTAGATTATGAATATATTATTAATTAGACATGGAAGTTGTAATCAAGTAGTAGTTCTTTCAAAATCAAGGGCAAAATTAATTGTTATCAGTTGAATGATTATAACTGTAACACACTTACTGACCAGGGTTCTTGGTTTTTGGCACCCAAGGTTAGACTTCTAGAGCAGCTGTCTAAAATCCTGTTGTCTCCACCCATTTAGCAAATTAGGCTGTGGCTATCAGCAAGAAAACTGTCTCTGTTTATTCAAATTTTACCAAGAGGAGGATGAGTCTGACCTGAGTGATAAATCATTCGCTGCACAATAAAAGCAAACTACTACTGGTTAAAAATTTGATCATCCGGGATTATAGCAAATCTAACATCTATGCAAACACTATACAATACAGATTCCAGCTCCTAAAAACTTACAAGGTTAGACTTTTAGATCAGCTGCCTAAAATCCTGTTTTCTCCACCCATTTAGCAAATTAGACTGTGGCTATCAGCAAGAAAACTTACAATTCAGTTATAGAGATGATCCCTTCCAGATATCACTACACCCCCCACCCCATCACAGAGGAACAAAGTACCTCCTCTCTTCAGCCGGTGAACAACACCTCCTTAACGACCGACCCTTAACAATCATAGACAGGTTTCAGGAATTACAGGAGACGATCCCCCCCTTTAACGACAACCTCCCCCCCTTTAACGACCGACCTTCAGAATCATACAAAGGTTTCAGATATTACAGGCTAACAATGGAACCAAACGACCCGCTCATCGGTTTACATTTGCATGTTTCCAAGCAATAAAAGGCCTTTTCTCTATAAAAACTCAACTCAATGCGGATCCAGACATTTGAATTGAGAAAGCTTCCTGGAGGGGAAGCGAAACGTCTTCAAACCTTGGAAACCAAATCCAGTGGATTGTTTTTGTTGTTTTTTTTACTTTTACGGAACTACACAATACAGGAAAATAAACAAGAGGTAGATAAAATTTAAAATAATTTGGAAAAGGGGAAAAATAGATCTAAGAGTCAGTTCAAAGAATTTCTTAGAGAAAGTCCAAGTTAGATGTATGAGTGCATTCAGTAGTGTCCTTTCAAAACAGCAGCTGGTATATGTGAATAGCTATAAATGCAGTTAAACGGTGTTGTTTCATTCAGCTTGCCATTGGTAACGGTGATGGGTCACAAATGCATTAAACAATACAGATTTGCGGCAAGATGGTTAGTTTGGATAAAGTAGACCCAGCTGCCCCTACCATATGGTCAAAAGAGGTGGAGTTAACATTGCTAAGAGCACAAAAGGTTGTATGCTGGTCAAGATTCTCAGTCATCGAGTCATCATAGACATTGTTTTTTTTTATTTTTTACTTTTTTTGGAACGGGTTGTAAAATTCATAAAATGGCCGCCCCTAAACCACGTGGCGTCAAAGAGGTTCAGCTCCCTTCTAACACCTTAAAGGAATAGTACACCCAAAACATGATTAGCCTTCATTTTCTACTCACCCCCATGCTGAACAACACTCTGGAGTACTTTTTTGATATCTCAAATGCATCTGGAGATCTGGGAGGCTTCTTGCTGTCTGCTGACATTCAAATAATGGAGGTCTATGGTGCCAGAGGCAGAAAGGTCCATAAAAGTCCACAAAAACGTGTCAATATTCCTCCATACTGCTCGTCCAATGTATTCCAAGTGTCCTGAGTGGGTAGCATCCAGAATTTACTCGAAACGAAGTCATTTAGAATGTTTTTAGAGCATAAACAGTAGTGTATAGGATTTCCTGAAAGCGCGCGCCTGTGCGTTCATGACGCTACGGAAGCCGGCAGACCAAACCAGATGAAAGTGGGCATTCAGCGTCTGCTCTGCCAATAATGCAAGCGTAGAAGAAGAAATGTGCTGTTTACCTGTGCAAAGAAAGAAACAACGAAAGAAAAATGTCTGAGGACTTCAGTGTTGAGGAAGAGCATGAGTTCTTTGCCGAGCTGAATGCGCACTTTCATCTGGTATGGTCTGCCGCGGTTTCCGTAGCGTCATGAACTCGCAGGCGCGCGCTTTCAGGAAATCCTATACACTACTGTTTATGCTCTAAAAACATTCTAAATGACTTCGTTTCGAGTAAATTCTGGATGCTACCCACTCAGGACACTTGGAATACATTGGACGAGCAGTATGGAGGAATATTGACACGTTTTTTTGGGACTTTTATGGACCTTTCTGTCTCGGGCGCCATAGACCTCCATTATTTGAATGTCAGCAGACAGCAAGAAGCCTCCCAGATCTCCAGATGCATTTGAGATATCAAAAAAGTACTCCAGAGTGTTGTTCAGCATGGGGGTGAGTAGAAAATGAAGGCTAATCATGTTTTGGGTGTACTATTCCTTTAACTTTGGGACAAGAGAGAAAGGAAGGACAAACTGAAGAAAATAACCCAATTGCAGGTGGTCAGTCCTCCATTCACACGAACTCCTCATGAAACCGATGTTACGTTTAGAACTCTTTTTGGATGAACCATCGGCTTTAAAAATCAAGAGTTTCAATAAAAAGCATGGAAAACTTAACTAACTCCGTTTGCCCAAGCTAAGCACCTTAATTGAGCATCAAATCAGAATAAAAGAGGAAAAAAGTCGACTCTAGATGGGAGGAGGGGGGCAGCGGTTCCGATTCAGTCCACAACCAGTCCGTTTCCAAACCTGGGTCGGCTCGCTGGGAGATTTGAATCTGTCTGATGCAAACAACAAGGAAATTTGATGGGCTTTAATCCGTTTGATAACTCCACTGACTACAATCCATAGATGGTACACTGCAACGCTGGCTCCCCACTGCAGAGTTCATTCCAGTTCGTGGTTGTTGCAGAATAGTTTTGGTCAACCCAGACGAAAACTCTGTTTTCTCATCCGCTTCATCGCGATGATACACTACAATAAAAAGTTCTGAATGGCAGGAGAAGAGTGGCTGGGTTCGCCCGCGAACCGACTTCAAAGGAATTCAGTTGAAGGTAGTTCTCGCCTTTCAGGCTGGTAGCCCCGGGGAAAAGAGGGATGCTCAGGCATGCATCGATTTTAAAGCAGTATGACATTGGAAGGCTGTCCTTCCTGCCTCACAGTTCTCCTGTAGCTGATTCGTCTAACAGGCGTGACGTGTGGGGATTGGGTCTTCTCACATCATTGTCATTTAAGCCAGCTGGATCTTTCTGAAAGGGATGCGCCAAGCGTGGTCACAGGTCTGCTCTGAAAGGGGGCGTGATCAGGCTGTGATCATGTGTTCCAGCAGTGTTTATATCACAACAATGCAAAATTAAATAGCTATTAAGTAACTAAATGGTACTGTTTTTTTAATGCATTATTCGATAATTGAATACACCATTAAAATTTGAAATGACCCATTAAATCATTAACCGTTTTAAATGAAAATGCTAATTATTTTAATGGTAATTAATTCATTTAAAAATGTTTCCTTTTATTTCATCAGTAGAAATTATTATATAGAAAAATATAGAGGAAAATATTATTTTTTTTTAAATAAGTGTATTTAGAATTGTCCCTGGTCATTTCATTTGTGATCATAGGCTGAAACAAAATAACTAAAGAAGACAAACCCTTCTCAGTAATCACTGTCAGTATAGATTGTGTTTAATCAGGTTTTGTTGTCTTGTAAATATTTTAAAGTGTGTTTGATTTCTTTCCTCCTGTGTTTCCACAGAGTCGGGAAACACGGCAGGACAGAGGCTTGTTTTCTGTCCCATCCATAAACAAGAACCTCTGAAACTTTTCTGCGAAACATGTGACACGTTAACATGTCGGGACTGCCAGCTTCTGGAGCACAAGGAGCACAGGTAGATCCGATTTTGAGACTTTGCCATTTTCATCATTTTGGGAAATCTCATGCATTTGTCAGGACACTCAGACAAAAAAAAAAGTTACAAAAGGAATTTTGCAAATAATTTAACTTTAAGAGGTTCATTAATTGTTTGATTTTAAATATTGAAGTGAATGGCCTACAATTTATATTTCTTATACAAAACCTCATAATTTATGATGCTGCGAGTAATAGCTATAAGTTAGATATGTCTCTTACTAGTAAATATAGCTGCAAAACTGCATTACACTAACAGAGATTCAAAGATTTGGAGAAAGAAAAATACAGGCCGAGTCCACCTTTTTCATCCAGTCATAAAATTACATGAATACTCTTAAGCTTGGTTCCTTAATACATTTTAAAAATAGAACATCCACCACTCTAACACAATTTGGAGTTGCAAACCAAGCTTAAAAAAATATCTCTGCTGTCACACTGTTCCAAATTTTCACATGAAAATCACATGCGAGTTACATGTTTAGGTCTCATCTTAGGTCACGCCTTGAGCTCCACTTTGTTTCTAGCGGTGAGCATACTGAGGTGAGGGAAAAGCTGCTTAGGGTAGTGTAAGATTATGTAATGTTAGTGCTTTGTGGAGTCATTACTGAGATATTTAAGTCAGTTTCAGCGTTGTGTAAGGCAGTGATGCATCATGGCATAATATTTTGTCAAGTCAAAGAGAATGTATGGCAGCCTGACTTGTCTGGTCAATACATTTGTATTTGTTACAGCATCAAACGTCTAGAAACCGTTACCATAATTTCTTATGTCATGAAAATGGGGACATGCTAATTCACTAGCTGAGAGGAACGGGAAATAGGTTAGAATCTCAATGTTACCTTTTATTCTCCCAGTTGGATCAGTGCTAACAGACCTACAGAATTATTGTTCACCCATAAAAATTATGTTTGAATGTTTTTGTTTTTTTGGATTAAAGTTTTTTCCATGAGTTAATAAATAACATCCATATAAAATAAATTTACTTCAATTTACTGCTATTTAGAAGAGAATTAATGCTGGAGTGAAGGCACTAGAGGAGAAACATGCTCGATCGAGAGTCGGATCCAAAACAAAAAGTCTGATTATTATAGAAAGAATAACAGCGTGTCAGAGCGATTTACATATTCGTTTTTTTTTTTATTCAGTGACACAATGGTTCTGTTTTGTTAAATAATAAAAATGTTTTGTTAAACCTTATAGATAACCTTAATTATGTGTAAGATGATTTTTATTCAGTCAGTATTTAATATAGCTGACAGACTAAATAGTTCAAATAAATAAAACAATGAATAAATTAGGATGATGAATTATTTTTAATTCAAAATGTAATACAGAATGTTAAGAACCTAATGAAAAAGGCAGCTTATAAATTACTCTTTTGTTGATTAGTAAGATTAATCAACTTCAGATCAATTAAACGATAACTCGCGCCTGCACACCGTTAATTTATATTTAACTCTTTTGCAGCCATGAAACCTTTACAGCCTGTAAATATTAATGAGTACCAAGAAATGTATTACTTTAAGATTGAAAGAACAGAAAATTTGTTCTGATCAAGATATTTCCTGCTTCACAAAAAATCTGAGGTCAATACAATTTTCTGCTCTAAACCCTTAAAACCAGAAGAAGTTAAGTTGTTATCGAGTATGAACGGTAAAGTTCATTTAGTTCAGTAAATCTGACTGAGACCTTATCTTTTCCATTTTCCCCCAGGTACCAGTTTTTGGAGGAAGCTTTCCAGAACCATAAAGGAATCATCGAGGCCAACATGGCCAAACTACAGGATAAAAAGAACTATGTCCATTATTCTGTCTCTCAGTTGCAAAACAGGTGTGTTTGGGTTCCTCTTTTTTTTTGTTCATGTTGTATTTCTAGGAATCACTTCATTGTATGTTTGTTCTTTTTTCTTTCCCTAATCTAGGTTGAAAGAGCTGGGAGAGACTCATAGAAAAGTGGAACATGAGATCAAGATTGCTGTATTTACTCTCATAAATGAAATCAACAAAAAGGGCAAAGCGTTACTTCAGCAGCTGGAGGTAAGACTGTTAGAATTTATTGAAAAAGAAGAATCACTAGCTTTTAATACTAAAAGTTCAATGCATTACAACTACCCGGAAAGTATTATTGGGTGGCAAGTAGGGCTGAAATAATTAATCAGATTAATTGTGATTAATCGATTATTGAAATAATTGTAAACTAATTTAGAAATTGATTAATCGTTATCTGGAGTGTAGAGACTCTTAAACATGCCTTTAGCTAACAGAGCAACCCACTCAGAGCAATAATTATACTAAAATTGTGAAACAAATATGTAAACATTGTGCGATTAAAATGAAAAACTATCCAAAACTCTTCAGGTGGAAAAGTTTGTCTAATTTCATAAAAATTCTTCTTTAAGGAACCTTTGGCTTTCTGATTATTATTCAATAAATCGAAATGGTCTTTAGTGGTAAGAGATTCTTATGAAATGTTTGAGTGGAAATATGAAGATTTCAAACTGCTGCGGTTGAAACATTCTTCAAAGACGATTGACTGAGGCTATGCGTGCCAAAGGATGCTGCCGTTAGGCGCAGTCTTTCGGTTGCCAATGGCGCCACTGTGAGGCGGTTTCCTTAGGGCACTGCCTTTCATCTCTGTGGAAATATAGGAGTGGAGAGTAGAACGGAAAATCTTCAGAACAGCTCCAAATTACACAAAATTAATATAGGTTAGTAGAATATGATGTAATTACATAAAATCAAAAAAACCCGGCAATTCCCTTTAAAAACACACTTCAGAGGTCCAAGGATTCATGATTGACCAGAAGGCCAGGCTCTCAGTCACTGCTCTAAGTCACTGTTTCCCAAGCGTAGACCTCAGGGCAGGCTGTCCTGTGTGGTTTGGGTGTTTCCCTGCTGCCACACACCTTACTTGAATCAATATCTGATTGACAGGCTTCTGCAACACCGGTGATTTCTGAGGAAGCAATGCAGTAATTCCAGTTAGGTGTGCTGGAGCAAAGACACTTGCTGAATATGCAGCACAGTGCGGTCTTAGGACCAGGGCTGGGAAACACTTCTCTTATTCATCCCAAACAGGGAAGGGTAGAAGCCGTCTCCACCAAGATTGGAGCGTGGAATTGCCCTCAATCTGTTGGTATGCTGAAGCATTCAGATATCCTTTTTTTGACAGAACCTGAAGCTTTGTTTATGTTTGATGCGCATATGTTCAGCATGGAGATAAAGATCTGTGGTCTAGGGTCGAAACAATTTTACCAAAAAAATAAAAAATGTGATTATTTTGAACTAATATTAAGATGGAGGTTTTATTTCGATTTTCAGCTACAGCTTCATACTCAAACGGTCCATATTCTTTAACCTGTTTCTATAGAAACTCCACGTTCCTGTTTATACAACTAAAGGGCAGATTATACTTCACAGAGACTCAGAGACAGATTTGACGGTTGCAGAGGCTATGCATCAGAAGCACAAATTGGCCTTCAGTAATTTTGTGTGTCAGAGATGGAAACAAATATTTGGTTCTGTCGTGGATATCCTCCCAACGACGTAAACATTTATGTTAAAGGAAAATTCCGGTTTTTAACACTTTTAGCCCATTTTCTGTAGTGTCCAGGATGAAAACGAATGATCGACACCAACATTTTGACGATTGGTCCTGTCTCTGCTATTTGGCTCATGCAGAATCCCCCCCTGGCTGCTTCAGAATGGCTTCCATAGTGCATGTCCGATAATGTCCTTAAAACAACCTTAAACGTTCTTTTTTTAAAATATGCTACTCACCGGGTCGTCAGCGCTGTTCAATGACGTTCCAAAAAAAGTTTCGTGAAGAAAAACCGTTCCTGTAGTGTTTTATTTAGCATTTTGTAAATCCCAGAACTATTTTTTCCCGATACATCACAACCGCTTATAAACTTCCGCTTCCCGTTCGAATCTGAAGCGTTGCACACTCCAGACCACTAGTTGGCGACGGTATCCTCTACCGTCAAACTCAAAGTCCAATATGTCCTCCTCAAGAATCCACCTTTCGTATTCCATTTTCAGAGTTTTTTAAAGTGTTTAACAGAGACGTTAGCACCTCGACGTCTGAGTGCACAGAGTGAAGCACAAACACTTGGGCCTTGCGAAAAGACTACAACTGTGTAAACAGGCCCCATTTCCGTTTCCGGTGGCGGAGGGATATTGACTATTCCAACAGAACTCAATGGGATTTACAAAATGCTAAATAAAACACTACAGGAACGGTTTTTCTTCACGAAACTTTTTTTGGAACGTCATTGAACAGCGCTGACGACCCGGTGAGTAGCATATTTTAAAAAAAGAACGTTTAAGGTTGTTTTAAGGACATTATCGGACATGCACTATGGAAGCCATTCTGAAGCAGCCAGGGGGGGATTCTGCATGAGCCAAATAGCAGAGACAGGACCAATCGTCAAAATTTTGGTGTCGATCATTCGATTTCATACTGGACACTACAGAAAATGGGCTAAAAGTGTTAAAAACCGGAATTTTCCTTTAAGTCTTATAAAAATTCAAAGTTCTTAAAAAGCAGTTGAAAAGTGGTCAAGAAACAGGCAGAGGCAGCTGCGTCATGGTCCAGTGTGGCTCCTCCCCGAGCCCCCCCCTATTTTTACGTAATTTTAGGCACTTTTCCACGGGTATCTTTAATATCTTTTTATCTACCGGTGTAAACCCCCCAAAGTACAATTTTTATATATTTTAATCAAAGCCTTGCCCCTTTGAAGGCCATGGTGATACACATTGTAGTTTCATTAAAAACTTCACATATCAACATAACTTTGATGTTTATCATTGATATGTCAAAACAACGTTTCATTAAAACATCAAGCATAACTTTGATGTTTGACCATTAAAACATCACACAGCGGCATAATGTTTAACCTTGACATGTCAAAATAACTCATCCTTTGGTTTTCCCAATGCATACATCAAAGCCTTGGGTTTTTTCTAGTGCCATATTTCGTCCCTCCTAATCTTATCTTAACCTTCAAACAGCCATGCACATATTACTTTTCTTCGATACATAATGAAGCACACCATTTGACCATTATAACACGAATATATTTATTGTGAGACCTTTATCCACTATTCTATTCATGGTGCAGTATTAATTCACTACAGTTCTTGAACAAACAGTTTTTCTAATTAGTTTATCTGTTGACTATTTTTTCCCAGTTAGTGGTCGAATGACAAAAGGTAGTAATTTTTTTCTTTTCTTTCTTGTACATATTTCAGATTAGATGTATCTAAACTTTCACGTTTCACGAGTCCTGGATAGAGCAGGTATAAAGATAGAGACTTTTTTGACACAGTGTTTGTTAGGTGTGGGAAGTGATGTGGAGTCCTTTGGCTGTGCTTCATAGCACCTTATCTGTAGCTGAGGCAGTCATAGTGGAAGAAGTGGACCGACTCAAACCACAATCAACATGGATTCAAAAATAACTAAATGATCAATATCTTCTGAGTAACTTATACAGCACTTGCTTGTTTATCTATACCTAAAATTTTGCTGGGGGAAATATCACAATATATAGTAATATTGTGATATCATATTGTAAAATTCAGCTTGATTAAAAGCAGAACTCACAAATACTCAAGGGTTTTTTTTTTCACAGGAAAACAGGAAATAAGTGTTACATTATAAATCTGAGATGAAAGAAAAGAAAAATCCAACCACTTAGAGAGAAAGATTTATTAAAGAAATAATAATAAAATAAAAATCGCACTACTACCAAGAATCCAAAGTTTCATTCAATAATATTTCACTATAAATAGATCAATAACCCAAAAACCTTCACAACCAATTTATAAGTAAACTCAAAGTCTCAATTTATATCCACAAAAAACAAACAAAAACATCCCTAATAACTGAAAGTCCAAAACTGTCTGTTCTTTTTATTTTTAATAATAATGTCCAAACAGGAGTTCCATATGCTCCGACCCAAAGTAAAATCCTGGAAGCGTTTAAGTCCAAAGTCCTTTCCAAAACGAAAAATCCAAACGACAACCCCCCCCCCAAAAAAGATTAAAAAAAAGGTGGTACCACCAAAAATCCCAAAAAAGAAAGAAAAATAAGGTTCAGATCTCAACGGAGCGTCTTTCATTTCCCTGGGCGGCGTCTCCTTGCACCGTGCGGCGTCCTCTGGGTGCAAACTCCGATCAGTTTTCTATATGATCTGCGGTGATGGGACAAACTCTGACTGGGTTTTATCTTTCTTCTTTATTTTTTGACTTGTTTTTAACATACCAGACAAAAACTCCCACTGCACAGACCTGTCAGTGCGCGTCTTCCTCACTTGTCGAGCCGCGCGCGCCGACGCACACGCCCCTTTTTATTAAGAAATTTCTCAACACCAAAACAACCCAGCATATTAATTCCCATCATCGTTTTTTAACCAGTGGAGATTTGAAATAATATTACCAATGACATAACTGTTCTACAAGACAGTTTGTTATTGGTACTCTTTAATGTACTTTATACAAAAAGAGAAAAATAACATAGTGGTTATGTTGCAGTGTAATGATCAGGCTTTTATCTTGCAATGCATATGGTCGTGAATTAGACGCCCTGTTTTTGTGTTGTACGCCTTAATTTCCCCCCAAAATATGGTGGAATATCTTATGTCCCTACGGACAACTTAATTGGCATGGACAAGCACGCTGTGCTGTTTGAAAGCAGGTTTATAGAAAATGGACAAAATACAACATTAAACAATAATTCCAATAAAGCCATTAACACAACATACTAGTTAATTGGAACATATGGGAAGCTTGTGGGCCACTTTTCCCATAGCTGAAAGAAAAAAGAAACTTGTAATTCTCTATTTTGTCCTTGATATTCTAGCACAAAGAATCATGACACCATTCATGTATAATATCCCAAATTGCAATATAGTCCACAATAATCGCACATTTTCATCAAATCGTGCATTATTAAACCACATGTCAGCGTCTCTCCGCACACCAGTTAAAACTTTAAATATATCAGCAGGTGACGTTGGCCTTGTCGTTTGAAAAATGATCCCATATGAGAGCAAAAGGAAGAGATGGAGGGAAATCCCAGACGCCATTTATTACGTTATTTAAATGTATTTTAGAAGCTGTAATGCCTGTGATGTGATCTTATTCAGTGTTTTGTAGTGTAATCAATGTACTCAATGTTAAAACTTTTTTGTGCTTTGTTAAAATTCCCAGCATGTAAATATCGATGCAATTAGTTTAGAGATGCTCTTATAACGCTCTAATTTTGGGACACTGTTTTTTTTTAACTTTTGTTTTTTTTTTTTTTTCATGTGAGGTCAGGTTCTTTTTAGTCTTTTATGCACAAAAGAGGCCTTTTTTATTGAGTGTTGTATTTTTGCTTAGTTTCCTGTTTGGTTTCTAGGATCTCGTTAAAGGTCTAATACTGACACCAAAAGACATAATGTAGCAGGAATATTTGTGAAGAACTTTGAGGCGGTTAAAATAAAATGTTTTAAATTTGAAACCAACATTTTTGCATGTTAGTTTGAATCAGTATATCGGTGCAATTTTATATACTCTGTTGTTTTTAAAAGTAATTTCAATTGATTTTGATTTATATATCATGTATCGTGATATAGCCCAAATATATCGCGATATTAGATTTTCTTCGTATCGTCCAGCCATGTCACTAACATTATACAACACAAACTATTATTGCAGGAAGAGATTGTTTAATGGAGTAATGGAACTCCTTCTTATACACAACAGTCTTTGTTTATTAGGTAATCTGGTGATTTTTATTTTTATTTTATTTATTCAGATCTTTAGCCCAAGCAACTACAAATGTTTTTTCTTTTTTTCCCTAATTTTCCTTCTTTATTCCCTGATTGCAATTAAAAAAACAACCAAAGGCCTCCTGAAGTAGTAAGGTATAATGTTGTAAATGTTAAACCAGGCATTTTGTTTAGACAGGAATAATTTAACAGGAAAATTTTGCATTTCGATTCTCTTATTTTTACCTCCCTTTTTATTCAGAGCGTGAACAAAGAGAGGAGCATGAGGCTTATGGCTCAGCATAAGGACACCACCCAGCTGGCTCAACAGATCCACCATGTGCTCAACTTTTGCAACTGGGCCATCACTTCTGGCAGCAGCACAGCGTTACTCTACAGCAAGAGGCCGGTACGTTTGTTACGAGCTTCTTCGACCAAATAGGCTTTGCAAAACTCTTCAGGCAGATTATAAACGCACAAAAAGAGGTTTGGCTTGACGAAAATTCAAGATTGAGTTTTAACATAGCATTAGGTTTGTCACAGGGCTGCAGTTGGTTGATGGAAACGGCTTGCATACATAAACATACTTGAATCACTTTTGTTTTTTTGTTTTTTTTCTTTTTGGATTTAGTGATTTAAGAGAGACTAATCAAATGAGCTTATTTTCATCCTCTATTATGTTTTGTATTCTGTCCCCCAAAAACATGACAGATGATCATTTCAGTCGGCCTCATATGGCCGTGCTTAATAATTTAATAACCTTATTCTGTGTGTACAAATGGATGCAGATCATGTACCAACTTCGCCAGCTCTTCAAGGCAAGACTGGAGCCAGCCCCACAGTCCAATGGAGCCGTCCGGTTCTTCTGTGATCCAACCTTCTGGGCCAAAAATGTTGTGAATTTAGGTACGTATTTTTGCTCATGTTCATTCTATGTGCATTTTCTTAATTCTTTTCAAAAATCTATTTTAATTGGTTTTGTTTTAGCCTATTTCCTTTTAGCTGAGGTGTGTAGAAAGGATAAAATATCTACGGTCGTAACTTCTAGATGACTTTTTCCAAATAAAAGAGATTTCACATGCGTTTTCAGTGTATGTCCCATCGTTAAATGGCGGCCATTGACACCTGTTTTCTTCTTTAATTGTAGGTAATTTAGTTATTGAAAAGCCTCCTCCATCGGCACAACCTCCCAGTGTGATGTTAGGTGGACCGGCCATTTCACCAGGACAAGGTCACCCAGGCAAACATCCAGGACAGATCAACCTGGCTCAGCTTCGGCTGCAGCACATGCAACAAGCTGCTTATGCACAGCAAAAGCATCATCACCAACAGCAGCAGCAGCATCAGCAACAACAACAACAACAACAACAACAACAGCAGCAGATTCAGCAACAAATGCGTTTAGCCTCCCAAATGTCCCAGCAGCATGCCAGGCAGGGTGGCCCGGCTATGGTTCAGCAGCAGGTATGGTTCAATTTATTGGTTAAAATTGTCTCTTTGGTTTCGAGTTGTTAGTTTTTAAAGGCTTTCAGTGGTTTATGATCATTATATCAATGCAGAAATCCGGTCTAAACAAACTGAAATGGAAGTTTTATTAAGATCTTCTATTACAGGTTGAACACACCATTTCTATGTTTAAGGAGTTTGATCAGATGCGCTAACTCTTAATTTTAAACCACAGGATTATTCAAAGCTTATCATAATGGTTACAGCTAATTTAATCTACGTACATAAAGTAGGAGCTACTTTGAGTTGGTTGGGAACGGTACCGTTTACTATTAAACCAACCTTTGTCCTTCAACCAAACAGTGTAAAAACATTTAGAGATGTATAGGGCTGTACTATATGGCTGAAAATTATATTATGATATAAGTTTTACATATTGATAATTATTGATTAGTGTTTATGTTACCTGTTAATAAAAACCAATTTGTAATCCTATTATTAGAATAACCTTTAAAAGTAGCGGGCTTAGTTTGCTTGTCCCTCAGAATGACGTTTGTTTATGGAATTATTGAACATTTTATAACATGTTTTCTGTTCATGATAATTAGATATCTATTCCATTTATATCCATATTGAGCTATTGTTCAGCCCTAGTTGTATATATGAATTTTATTTGAAAGTCAGGAAGTTCTTCAAAGTTAAATTCTAAATAGGAACGGTTTAATTTTGTATGGCTGCTGGGTTTCAAATTCCACTTTTAGCTTCAGTAATAAAAATGTTTTTGTATGTAGGAGAGTCTAGATCTCAAAAATGTATCCCTGCACATAATGCTTTTATAGCCATGTTGGTGAACCTGTTAAAGTGCTGGTTTACATTCAGCTTAATAATTATTATAGTTATAGAAATAGCAAAAGCTCCAGTTAGAGTACATTAGTGTTTATCCTAGTATTGCTACTGGAACAGCAACTTTATGTGTAGATAGGTGTCACTGTCTCTTGACCTTTAAAGGAGTATGATCAGTTGTGCCTTCATTAGAGAACTTTTTGTAGACAACATGATCAGCAGCCACATCCATTTAGTTGTCCTGGATTACCACAAACCGGCCCTGCACGTTTTATTTTGGTGGTGTTGTCAGGTTTCTATTTGGAGCTGTTTGATAAAGAATGAGGGTGAAGGCTCCAAATAACTAATGGCCATATGCAACGTTTTAATTTCTGCTACAAAAAATGCAGTTTTAAGTATAATCTTGACCAAATACAATATCGACATAATTCATAGATACTTTGATTACTTGTTTTGTATAGTGGGATGTTATGAAAAGACTTGATCGAATGATATTACTCAAACACAGAACAATAGTTACCAACAACAGGTATTGGAACAACTGACCCGTGTAGAATTAACCAGTGGGTTACAGAAACTTTAAACAGACATGGATAGAAGAATAGTGTTTCTATCAGCTTGATGCTTAAATTGGAGATTTTAGAGGGAGGCCGACTTTTGAGTGATATGAAACCAATTTCCGTCGCCAATAACAGATCCTGACATCCCTAAAGATAACCGTTACTAATGCAGTCTGGCATGTAGAGGGGGTCATTATTCTGGGTCACATTGGCTCAACTGAGGAGGGTCAGATCTGAGCATTTACACTTGCTCCTCATCTGGTCACTTTTTATTTGCAGATTAATTATAAATTCCTAACTATTTCATATTTGAACTTAAAAACATGACTGGCAGTTTGGCAAATGTATTCATGTGAATCTGCAAATGTGTGTCTGTTATGCCAAGCCTCCTAGACTCATCAGCATGCAGCAGCTTCAGAGAGCCGGGACTATTAACGGTGGGCCCAGTCCCTCTATGTTCCCCTCCTCCCATCATATGCGTCTAGCTGGTCCCCCACAGGGCCGAATGCCCACAGCTCAGCCCAGACACAACGGACAGCAGTATGCACCTCTGATGCAGCCTCAGTTGCAGAGACAGGTCAGTACATGACTGGACGCCATACATTTGATCAGTTCTGATGTTTTGGCAGATACTCTAGAGTTGTGACAGATGGTTCTTCCCCCAAGCAGCCATTAGATCATTTTTACTTTTGTCACTATTACAGTCTTTATTCTGCATTATTTTATTCTTAATGGGAGTAATTAGGGGTGCATTAGTAAATGAATTATGTTTTTCTACCAGCTGTGGTGGTCTTTTGGTGTTTGTGAGTGAGATCTTTGACATGGATGCATCAGTAAAGTGTGGCGCTAACAAATTTAGCTACAGAAGGGGTAAAGTTATTTATAAAATATTAAACATCTTTTATATTTTTATCATTTTGCTGAAAGGGTGAAACAAAAATAAACAGAAATGTTAAAGGATTTTTGAAGGGAGCTAATGGCTTTTTTTTTTAAGCTTTGATTTTTATTAATAAGCAGCTTACTGAGTAATGGATCAGTTGATCGGCTTTTTACATCTTTAATGTTAGCAGGAAGCTAAGCTGATTATAATATTTAGCCCTTAATAGACAAGATGAGATGCATCTTTGTCCACAGGCTTGGACATTTTCCTTTCGGCTTTCCAAACAAAATAAAATACACAGTTATAGTTAGATTGGCAAGAGTTTGACAGAAAGAAAGAAATGATTACGTGGTTAGTTCTCCACATTTTATATGTTCAGGAATAGTTACCCCTCTGGGGATAAATGACTCCCCTCTTTAGGTTTGATGGACCAATATAGGTTGATCACAGGATAATATCCCTGACTAATAATTTGTAGTTTATCTGTTTTGACAGTAAAACCTTTATTAAACCCGATGTAGTTTATATTTAAAACAAAGAGGCAGGGGGTATTCCTTCATGTGGCGACTAAAATGATACATTAAAAACGACAATGACGAGGCTGTTCTCAAAGATTGCTTCTGTTTTACAGCCTCCCTGCTGCATACATTTAAAAAGAAAAGAAGATTTTTGAGTAAAGAAATATATTTACTTTAATTCACAATCAGCAAATGGTGTACATTTAGTTGAACTTCAGTTGATTTATAATCTAATTATATAACTTATGATTATCTGATCAAAATAAACCATTCTTGATCAGATTTAATCTAGATAAACTTACAAAATAGCTGACATTATAATTTAAAAAAGATTTTCTATCCATACATGAAATTTTAATGGATTACTTTTATCTAATCAGAATTAAAAAGGCTTCTAGCTGATGATTGTATGAAATACCAAAAAATCTGAGACTACATCTTTAGACCAAGCATCTAAATGCTTAATTCTAATCCATTTTGGATACATTCTGGCCATCCAAAGAATAAATCTGTTTTTGAAGAAATGGAAGCATCTTAGGTCAGATCTGCATTATGATGCCCACCAATGTGTTTATGCTTTATGCTAAGATATTCGCCACTCGCAGACATGGAAATGTGCTTTTTGATTTCTACATGTGAGACGAGGTAGGAGAAACCTCCACTATATCCAGCCCCCTTTTTTTCTGTGTCCAGATGTCTTTAGAATCTGAGATGAGCCACCAAAGGTTTCGTTTCTTACTCCAATCAGGGGTTTGGCACCTTTTCCTTCTTTGTCATTTACATGTCTTGTGCAGCATGTGTGCTCAATCAACTGCATGATAATTAAAATCATGATGTGTCTAAGACACATTTGTATCATCATTTCTTAGATTTCTAGAGTAACCGTCTCCCCATCCATCTTCTCTCCTTGTTTGTTTTTGTTTGCTGTCTTCACTTCTTCCTTTTACTCTTTTTGTTTTATCCTCGCGCCTCCATTTTCTCACTCTATCTTTGTGCAGCATTCCAACCCGGGACACGCTGGCCCCTTTCCGGTGGCATCCCTGCATAACGCCAGTCCCACGAGTCCCACCAGCGCCAGCATGGCCGGGGCCCATGCTCACCGTGGTCCTGCCAGCCCCATCGTTGGTCCCATCGAGCTTATCCCCTCTGTTACTAATCCTGAAAACCTTCCCTGCCTACCTGAGATCCCGCCAATCCAGGTGTGCATATTTAACTAGAGTTTTACGCTTCTGATTAAATTACATGTAAGGAACCTCCAACCACTTTTTTATGCTTTACTAAAGACATATTGGCCAGATCGGAAAGTTAAAATTATTTTTTAGAAACCCCTGTCATTTTACTAAACTTTATTGAAAGACTATTTCCATAAAAATGTGAAAAGTTCATGATCATTTTTCATAGCACAATTCCTCACATTAAATTTAATGTGAAACTATATAGTAACAATGTGTAAGGTATAGTTTTTAAATTTTGCTATAAAAAGAAGTTAAAGTTCCATTTCTAAAACTGACAATAGAACTACAACAGTAGAGCTGTGAGTAAAGCACCGCCTTTCAGAACTTACCATCTACTATTTAACATGCAACAATTGGTGCAATTAAAACACACTTTAGATTCCCTTGATTCTACCTGTAATTTGTGCGATCAACTTTACCAAGGAGTTGTTTACTTTTTCAGACATGGACTTGCAATGTTGGCTGGCTGCAGCTGTGGACGCTAACATTAGCATTGTGAATGTCTGCTTACTGCAACATAAGCCCTTTATAATTCCTTCCTGACTGCCAGGGGCAGTAAGCAAAGTCACCTACGTAACATAATTCAGCTGAACTACGGTCGGTCTCCTGGGATCCTCTTACTGAGAACTTCTGAGTGACCGCTGTGACTGGCAGTCATCCACACAACCATAGTCCCTTTTTAACTTCTGTTAGACTGAGATGGTTTTTAAGTTTGAATACGTCCAGTGGACCAATACCTGTGATGCTGTTTATACATCAGAATAACAGGTGTATAAAAAGCAATAAATACAATGAATGCGTTAAAGTTCCAAACTGAGCAACAATTGGTAAAAACCTGTATTACACTCATCAGGTGTTTAATCTTATTTTTAATAAAATCTAGATCTTGATGATCAGAAAATTTTAGGATAAAACTCACTCTTTACTAGCATTAATTAGCCTTTAATGTTCTTTATATGTTTTTTTTCAGCTGCTTGGTATAAGAAAAAAAAACATATTTTAGGGTTTTTGTTCATTAACTTCATTACAATCAGTTTTGCTAAATCCATATAGTCATTAGTAGATTAACTATTCATGCAATGTTTGTTTAATAATCACTCTAAAACCAATACATATTCGCAACTATTGTTGAACTGTTGCTAAATTGTGGTTTTTGTTGTCAGTTGGAAGATGCAGGTTCCAGCAATCTTGGGCATCTTCTTTCCCGTTACATCTCAGCGAGCCAACATCAGCTCGGCTCAACAGACATGAACCCCTCACCCGGCCTGTCCACCCTCTCTCCTGGATCATCAGGTACTCACATCTTCAAAGATGGCTGCCCTACACTACTTCCTTCTTAACAGTTGAAGTAGGAAAAATAACCTTGCGGTTTTATCCCAATCTTAATTTTTCGTGCAGGTCTGTCCAACGCTCACACACCAGCGAGACCCTCCAGTACATCAAGTACAGGCAGCAGAGGCAGGTGAGGCAGCAGGAGACTTTGTGGTCAAAAAAAGGATTTAGGAGGAAAAAAGAACAGGAAATCAGATCTTTCTAAGGATCTTAGACATATTCTTCCTCTGCATGGCAGTCAGAGGTAGATGTGCTTGTTTGCTTAAACACAGTTTTAGGAATTTATTGATAGGGAAAAATATTGAATAGGCTGTAGATTAGATTTTCTCTGAAAAGTGTTGGACTTTTTTTTTTTTTTTACTTGGATCTATTTGTGATATTATGTCTATTCTATAAAAATCACAGAAAAAGAATGTTAATCAACATTTAGTTTAAGGGATCAGTGAGTGCAATGAATTCATGATGAAAATATAAATGTAACTTATTGTTAAAGCTGTAGGTTTGCTCTCCACTGTAAAATATAAGAGAGATCATCTGTGAAACCGTTGTGGCTCCTTTCAGTGGTCCTGCGTCATTTCCAGAAACATAGGTCACCCTGTTAGATCCAACTTGTCAGATTAAACATGGTTCTGTCATTTAAGCTTACAAGTCAGAGTCGCATGCAATGAGTTAATGCGCCTGCTGCAACCAAGGACAGTTTGCATTTGGAATTTGGAGCCATCTGTAAAAATATTTTTAGGATTTAATTTGTTAAAATTGTAGAGAAGTCGTATTTAAATTTCAAATCATTCTTGTTTAAACATTCTGTAAAAGTTTAAAAAAACAATCCACTGGACTTGGTTTCCAAGGTTTGAAGAAGTTTCGCTTCCCCTCGAGGAAGCTTTCTCCATTCAAATGTCTGGATCCACAGTGAGGTTGAGGCTTATATAGACAAGGCCTTTTATTGCTTGGAAACATGCAAATTAAAACCGACGAGGGGGTCGCTTGGTTCCATCCTTAGCCTGTAATACCTGAAACCTGTCTATGACTGTTAAGGGTTGGTCGTTAAAGGAGGGATTGTTCACCTGGCTGAAGGGAGGAGGTACTTTGTTCCTCTGTGATGGGGTGGGGTGGGGGGTGTGGTGATATCTGGAAGGGATCATCTCTATAACTGAATTTTAAATTTTTGGAAGCTCTAATCTGAGTCCACCACCTCTGTTTAAAGTTGGTTTAAACGTGTATATAAATGTAAATAAACTCTTTATTAGACCATATTGTCCCAAAGGTTAGAGAATTTCTATTTTTAAAAAAATCCTGTCTTAAAATCAGGTGCACAAACTGTGAATCTCATTTTACTTTGTTGCTTGTTGCCAAGTCTAATCTTTGGCTTGCAGCGCTGCAGGGTTGTTGTACTCGGCGTTATGGTGAAAAGCTCATGCCTGCTGAGGTACGTCCTGTTTGGGGAAAAGGCATTGCTCACTATGTCCTGAGTGAAGAAAACTAATTAAAATGTGACAACCGAAGAGATTTCCTTTATAATCCCTTTTTCCAAATATTAACTTGCTTTTTATCCATGTATGTTGTGGAAAAAAAGTGTTAAGTGGATGAAGTCAAGGATTTGCGGTGTTGATACGTTTTATTGGACTTCAAGGATTTGAACGTTGAAGTCAGGGGTCGGCAACCCAAACTGCTCAAAGAGCCATATTAAACCAAAAAAACAAACCTGACTGGAGACGCAAAAATGGAAGTCTTATATATGCTTGTATGGCAACATGGGCTCTAAGTGTATTATCCTACTATTAAAAAAGAAAAGACTACGTGGGCTTAATGTGTTAAATCTGGAGCAAATGTCACATAGCAGCATGAGGTGATGGAGGAGCAGTGAACGCTCTCACAGCGCGCCGCATTACCTCCCTTCACCGCGTGGTTTAGGTTTTGTTGCATTGATGAAATTATAGAAACACGATAAAGAAATATTTCTATGGCAGACATTTTTCTGTTGGGAGGAGTTGATTGAGTCATTAGGAATCTTTTGATCCATGCAAGGATTTGAAAGCTTGTTGATGATTTAATTCACATGTTAACATACAGTATTAATCCCAACTGAAACAAATGCTATAACTATTCTAGTTGTTTCTTTAAAAAAGTAGTCAAAGATGTAGATGAGATAGATGTAGGCAGGAAGGATTTGCTGTAGCAGTCTGTCTCACAGCAGGGTCTGGAGGAGCCTCTGACTGAAGACAATGTGTTGTTGTTGGACAGTCTGTAGAGGAGCTCAGGGTTTGTCCATAACGTTCATGTCAAAATGATCATTTGTACAGTTTTTATAAATCAAATCCAAAATGTATCTAAGTTGCACCACCACCAGTGTTTACTCCAATAAACCAATATAAGTGACATGACGCCACCTGTTGGTTAATCCAGGTCGCTCATTAGCAGCTGACCAATCAGTTTTCTTTATGAAGACATGGTGTACATGGGACATTTTGTTGAGAATATCTTATAAATAGTTAAATGCTGTCATTGTGGGATATGCATTTTAGGTGATACTAAGTACTTAAGAAAAGTATTAAATAAATATTCAAATACTTCTAATTCTGTTACCAAAAATAAAAAGAAGTCTTGAAAATAAAAAAAAGTAAAATATGGATAAAGGCCATGAAGCCTTAAGGGCAGCTGAACACAGCAGTAATACAAGTTACTACAAGTTGTCAAACGAAGACAACAAGCTAATCTCCAAGCGTTTTTTTGTAGTGTTTGCTCATATTTAGCTTGGAAAGAGCCTGCTATACTCCATTATGAACATGTGGTAATAAACTACGTCCCAGGTGGGGAGTGTTAGCATGGACTGAAAATATTCAAACTTGGCTTGATTAGATTTTTTTATCTTTTCGTTTAGGTGCTATGTTCACTCGCCTGTTTGTAACTGCAAAAGACATCAGACACAGTTTCAGTCGCTTTGTGTCCATCCATATTCTTCTGCTGTCTGAGGAAGGGGTTTGCCATAACTTTCATTTATTCGTTGTTGCCTTGAAATACATTTACCGAGTTAAAAACTTTAAATGTTGCATTTCAGTAAAATGTTGGTAAAGCTAGCTATCCCATGTTTTACAGAGCTTTGTTTACACTGGTTTGCATTTCCTTGTGGGAGGAGCAATCCAAAAGTCACCATCACAAAGCTGCTTAGGAATTTTATGTGCATTTAATAAAATTTTTTTCTACTCTAAAATGTTGGGTGATTATTAGTCTTTATCTGATGAAACTGACATTGGTGGCCCCTCCTGTTAGCTTGAATATTGGTGGTAGAGATCACTGTGGATGGACGACTGTAATGCAGCAGAGAGCCATGGGGTGGGACCTGTACAGTGGCCAGGGTTTTTTCAGATCTTCTTTCTGCAGCTTTAAGGGAGGAGATGATTTTTTTTATAGGTTAAGAAATTACAGAGAGATTAAAAAGGATTAACTTTATAGCATCTGAGAGGTTATTAGAATGAGGAAACAGAAGCGATATGCGTTGAAAAGGCATCATTTCTGCAGAGCAAATGAAAGCAAAAAAAGCAAGTTTTATTGCTGCAAATATGCAAAAAGAAACCAGCAGAACGAAGGAACTTAATGGACCGCTGAAGCTCACATCAATTTATGTCAACATGCAAAAGGGGGCAAAGCATGCTGAAAAGGGAACAATGTTTGAGCTGAAAAAGTTCCTCATCTGTCAAACTTGGCAGTGCTTATGTTATCACCAACGCCTTTTCACCATGGCTGCTCACCGAACTGCCTCACCGACATTTATTGATGGTTTTACCCCTGATGAAGCTGGACGAGGGCCGCTCATGTGCACTTAGTCAAATTGAGGAGAGCATTTTATCATGTTGCAGAATGATGAATGTTGGGGTGTGTCAGGAAAGCTATATGGCTTTTAGGGTGAGTTTGAGGAATGTCTTTGATTTGTAGAATCAGTCACTGAAGACAAAACTAAAGGGAGGATCCTAAGAGCCAGAAAAGCACTCACTGTCTGTAGAGTGAGGAGAGAACAGTGGTTTCTTGGAATGTTATATTTCAGCCTATCCTTCACTACAAAGCATCAGGCATTGATTTAAATTTTGGTTGGACTTAGTGTTGCTTTTCACAGCTGTTTGGCCTTAGAAAGATGAAAATATCCAGTATTCTACAAATTTCAATATTAAATCCAAATAATGTGTCGAACAATCCTCAAGGGAATGCTGAAGCGGAAAGTCAAAGCCAAGTATTTCTATTATTAAAAGCATAAAAAAAAAAGAAAAAGCTTGGAAAATTTCAATTAATTTTATCTTAAATATTTCAGTAACATTTTCTTTTACAGTACATCACTAACCATGTAATAACATGGTGATAACAAAGCAAGTCACACTATATCACTTGGTAACAGGAAACCCTTTATGGAGAATTTCGGTGAGGGCTGTGCCTCAAATTTTAGGCAGACAAGGTGAAGTCAGAGTTCACCTTGTGAAGCAATTAATTAATTTATTATCTAGTAAAATACAATTTATTACGTGGCTTATAACCAAACCTAGAATACAGCAAGCCGATCTTCTTAACTAAACCTTTATTTATATATAGCTTTATTTCAGTTTTATAATACTTTATTTACATAATCACAAGTTACTGTTTACTTTATTAGCTGTTGGTAGGTTTTGGCCAACAATAGATGTGGTTATGGTAATTGCCCATCCAAAGTATCCATTGTTACATGTTACATTGTAACATTCTACTGTAATAATTACATGCAGGTAATTACATGCATATATATCTTAGTTTTGGGGTAAATACCAAATAAAGTTTTTCCTGTTACCAAGTAATATAGTGTGACTTGCTATGTTATTACCATGTTATTACATGGTTATTGCTGTACTGTAAAAGAAAGTGCTTCCAATATTTCAATACCATTCATCATAGTGATATTTTTATTTAAAGTTTCCTTACTTTGTTTACCAAGTAAAACGGAAAAATTACACATGCTCTGTTTTTGAGGATTTCTTGTTTACAGTTAATGACATGACATTTAGAATCATTAAAAAATTATATTTAAAATAGAAATGTGGGGTTAATGAAAGAGATGTTTAGGTTAACGGTGTAATTTTTGACCCAAGCATTAGCTAACCGATATTTCAGGTCAATACGCAGCACTTTGCACGTTATCGATGCTACAGGCAAGCTGCTCTTCTCAAAAATGTCAGCTGAGAGAACTGGATCAGTCGCTGAACAAGTCATGTGACCCAGAGTGCCGCTTTACGGCAGTCTGAGCTCCTCTTAAATGCCAGAGCTAACTAATCTAAAAGTTGTTGTCGGGTAACAAAGCAAATAGGACCTTTTTTTGGTTCTTTGAAGGATTTTTTATTTTTTTTTTTCAGAAGTGTAAATGTTTTCTTGTATTTAGTCATTTTCCTGCGTTGCTTATCTGTTTCAGTTTCTCTCACTCCTGTTTCAGTAAAGTGTCAAATTTATTAATAAATGACTAAAAGGGAAGAGTAAAGAATAAAAAGTTAAATTCCAAACATTATCTTCTTTGGAGTTGAATGTAGTTGAAGTTGCCGCCACCTCTTGGCATAAAGACGACAGTGTTATTATTTTCATAGATTCCTCAGTTGCAGCACTGATGGATTTGTTGGTCTGTTTCAGCTGCAGCTCTGCTGGCAGAGCGGGAACCGGCGGTGGAGCGACTGCAGAGCAGGTGAAGGTGAAGAAGGAACCTGGTACTGGGGATGAGTACGGCTGTCCCTCCTCTTCTGTGAAGACTGAGCGAGGCAAAGACTCTGGGAGGAGCGCCTGTATGGTATGGACACCATTTTCAGTGTAGCTGTGAAGGAATCACATCATTAAAAAAAAAAATTGGAATCTCTGCACTTTTTTGGATGTAATTCACTTTTCTGTCCTTGTCCATCTGAATATTCATTGTTTAAAATGAAACAAAGAAGGTTTTTTAAAAAGCTGCTTATTGTTTCTTTGCTTTAGATGAGCAGTCCAGAGAACAGCCCACTCGGAGTTGCATCCATAGGCCAGGATGCCTTCAGGGGTGTTGGAGAACGCATCAAAACAGAACCAGCATCTGAGACGTCTTGTTCCGGCCTGAACGGCACATCCTCCTCTACCACTAACACTATATCCACCGCTACCTCGTCGTCCACCACAAGTCAGGGAGGCCCTCTCACCAACGGAAGCATAGACAAGAGAGGTGGGACTAATGATGCGACGCAGGGTGCTGGTGGGAAAGACGACGACCCCAATGAGGACTGGTGTGCTGTCTGTATCAACGGTGGTGACCTTCTGTGCTGCGACCGATGTCCGAAAGTGTTCCACATGAAATGTCACGTTCCGACCATAAAAATCATCCCACAGTAAGTGCACCTTGTGGATTTGCATGTTAGGCATGCTTGCTGAACTAATATTAGCAGCAATGGTCAGAGTTGTAATATTCCCTACTGTGGAGCCATATCTGTGTGTTTTAGATCAATCTAAAGGCAGTGCTTTGTGTCATTTTTGTCTCTTAGGGGTGACTTTCTCTGCACGTTCTGCCGGAGTATAGCCAACCCTGAGATCGAGTACTGTGATGAAAGCAAGAGGGTCAAAGGCGATCAGAGCCTGGGTCCCGAAGATCAGCGGGTCAGTGCTGCTAAAACCCCCTCAGATGACTTCTTTATGATGCTAACAACACATGTAACCCAATCTTTCTCTGTCTGCAGAGATGCGAACGGCTCCTCCTGTATATTTTCTGTCATGAGCTCAGCATGGGCTTTAGAGAACCCGTTTCAAGCTCTGTAAGTGTTCCTGAATTCACACAAACCGTTCAACTTGTCACTATCTGAACCATCGTAGCAGTCACCACATTAATGAGCTTTCAGCCATTTGGTTTTAGTCCAAAGTTAATTTATCTGTGCTGTTTTTCTTAGTTTTTTTTTTTTTTTTGGCTCATAATCTCAGGGATATTTTGAAATTAATGGGTGATGTAATTTAGCTTGTGTGCAGGTACAGCAGGTTCTGTTCATTCTTCCTGTGGGATTTTGGTTTTCTCCTAAACTTTGATAGCTTAAACACTGGAGCATGAGAGAGAAGCTCATATGACATGCTAATTTCCCTGGATGCTAGAGAGCTCTGTTTAAGTAATGAGAGGCAGTAATAAGCAAGAAAATAACTAAATCATATCAATGAGTTTTTTTCTGTTACTTGCATGGTGGTTTTGTTGTAGCTGCAAAATGACAGACGCATATCATTAGCCTGGCAGATTTATTGATGGATTTTAAATGGCCTTCTAGCCTGTTCACAGACATTCAGGCTCAACCCTCTATTAGACATCTGATTTCCCATTTTTATAACCGTTTTAAAACTGATGTCTCTGTCTTCTCTGCCTAAAATGAAAAGTTGCTTATAGTTTTTGCAAAACCTAATCATGTTAATAAGAGTTGGACAGAATGAAACTCACAGTTCCTTTTTCAATAATTCTTTATATATTTTAGAGCAATAATATTACTAAACTGCATGGATATAAAAGGAAATAAAATGTTGGAAATTAATAAATATGTTTTCTAATCATAGCTGGCAGAGAATACACTGGAAAACGATCTAGAAATAAGTAGAATTTTCTTAAATTAAGTTTATTTACCCATAATTTGAGTAATTAAATGAGGTAGTTTGCCAATGGAATGAATATTTTTACTCTTAAAATAAGATAATTTGATAAAATACACTTGAAATAAGACAATGCAATTGTGTTTTCCTATTTTAAGAGTAAATTGTCTTCTTCCATTTGCAAAATGTCACTTTTAACTCCTCAAACCAAGAACAAATGGATTTATTTTAAGGAAAAATGACTGATCTAGATTTGGATTTTTTTACAGTGTATATTCAGAATTTTAGTAACCATTGCATCCATAATGTCTTTAAAGTTGGAAACGGTAAAGGACAACTTATATATGAATAAACATTAATGACTTTTATTACAAAAACAAGGAATTAGACTCATTTTTCACCCATATAATATTTGCATACAATGTCTGGTTGGATATCAATGACAGAGCGCTACGCATTCCAACTTGTATTATAAACACATTTAGCCGCTAGATGGTCTCTGTCACCCCTGATGCACAACCTGCATGTATTTAAGTAGGTAAGATAGAGATGCTCACAGAAAACTGAGGGGAAACAACTTCTAAATACAAAACAAGAAGAATATATAATGTAGGTTTGTTTGGATCAAATATTGTTTTTGCATATATCTATGTATACATGTATTTTAGAAAGTATACTAGCTGTTGAAGCCTTAATACAAAATCTCACACTTGAATAAATGTTCCAGCCTTTAGAAGCCTTCACCTCAGTTTTCAATTATATCCATATCATGCCTTGTTTTTATACAACATGAAATATTTTAAAATGGAATATACTCTGTCTTTGGACCTAGGTACCCAACTATTACAAGATCATTAAGCAGCCCATGGACTTAAAGAAGGTGAAGAAGAAGCTGCAGCTGCGCAGCTCCCAGTACTACAAATCCATCCAGGAGTTTGTGGATGACATGCGCCTTATCTTCAAAAACTGTGCAAAATACAACGAGGTGAGCAGCATGTGTTTTCAGCCTGCTTGGGGAATGGCAGCTACTAAAATTGTGCATGCAGAGACAAGTTCCACTGAAGTCTACTGAAGTTAAAGAATCCCATAAAAAAATAGAGAATCAACATTCTTGGAAGAAGGTCTGTTTTTAGAATATTTATATTTAAGAAAAGGAATCACCAGTGACTTACGTAGGTCTGTTAAATACTCCTTAAAATATTTTCTCCCAGGTTTGTTGTTTCTCGATCATAAAAGAAAGAAATTTGAACTTGGTGTTGAGTTTATAATAAAAAACACAGATAATATGAAATATTTTCACTCATTTCAGGAAGTGAAGCTCATTTATGTATTGTTTAATCTTACAGAGTAAAATATTTCAAGCCATGATTGAGGCTTACAGATGATAAGAATCCAAAATCCAGTGTCTCAGAAAAGTAGATATTTGCAAAAGAAGATCTTCAATTAAAACAAAAGATATTTTAAACACAAACCTCAGCCTTTGTTGAAGTATGTCCAATTCCGTGTACTTTATAATATTCCAGTTTTTGTAGCTGTATCAGTGGTGAAGGCAAAGGTAGACTTTAGAAGTTCTGAGGGAAAGGGTTCAGCCCAGATGATGGTTGGATTAAAACGACGATTTGTTTTGCTGCTTTGGGAGCATGAAAAAAATTCCCAGTACTTTAGTATTTAGCTGACTTAAGAGCAGGGAATCAACCTAAACCACAATTTTAGAAACGGATGCTTCTAAAACTGAGGACACATCTGGACCAGAAAAAGGGACTGTCTCAAACAGTGACTTCTCACATCTGTACTGCCAATAACTTCATTCACTCTTATTTCCCATTTATGGATTTTCATTAGATTTTTTTTCTCTTTTTTTACTACATTTTTATAGGAGGTTGTAGTTAAAATCCAATAGTCTTGATTCCACATTTTTTTAACCTTTTTTTTGTATTTGACCTGACACATTTTGTTCATAAACTATTAAAGACATATTTATTTTTGCAAGTAAATTAGAGATATTTTAGTCACTTTTTCAGTGAAAGTCATGTATATAGTTATAGCTTAACTACACAGCCATATTTTTCCTATTTCTTGTTCTAGTAAGTGTTGTTGTAGGGTGCAGTAAAAGAAAAAGCCTTAGGATAAAAAAAAATTAAAAATCTCCTTCTCATAAACCACTGCATCATGGCGTTGTGGCACAAAGGCACTCGGACGGTGGCCCAGTTGTTTGATTGCAGCTGTCAGGTTAATTGCATTGTTGGCTCTGGTGTCTCCAGAGCTACTGTCCAGCATCTTCTAGATGCATCTCTGCTCCAGCAAACCTGAATCCAGTGAGTGACTCATCGTTGCCATGTTGCAGAGATAATTGTTTGATTGACTGTTTTGGCATAGAGATGTACAGAAAAGTTGCAGGACAGTAGATCTCCAGGATTGGAGTTTAAACGAGGTTAAGGTGAGGCCAGTTTGAGGAAGTGCTCTAGTGCAGCAGTGTCCCTCAGCCCTGGTCCTCAAGACCACCTTTCCTGCGTGGTTTTAGGTTAACCCCCAAAATCTGACTTCAATAAATAGGTAATAAAAGTCATTTAATTCAGGTGTGCTGGAACTGAGATGCATTTAAAACATGCAGGGCAGTGGGTTCTGAGGACCAGGATGAGCCCTGCAGATGACCCGGCTCCAATGTTGAATGCAGAATCTTTTCTCTGGACTCAAAGCAACCTGGATTCTTTGTTTCTCAGCTCTTCCAGAGACCCTTAAAGTTTTTAAATTAGAGGCGAAGTATCAAAGTACGACAGAGTTTTAGGGCCAGGCTAGAGATTTGTTTTTCTTCTATTTCGAGAATAAGGACGTAAAATTACGAGAATAAAGACATAAAATTAAGAGAATAAAGTCGTAAAATTAAAAGAATAAAGTCCTAAAATTACAAGAAACAAGTTGTATTTTAGGACAACTCTTATAAGAAGCACTTTCTTCTCTAAAATGAGGAATGTGGAGCATCATGTGAAGTTATACTTTGGCTCTGGTTTGACAAATAAGGAAATCTTTTAGGATCATCATCAAATTGGGCATTAGGTCAAAGTGGCCTCAGGTTGCTGATTGGTGGAGCTGGTCGACCGTCATAATGCTGGTCGGAGCTCCAAGCTTTCTTTCTGAAACGGGTTGTTGTATGATGACTTCATTCTCGTAAGATTACAACTTTATTCTCGCAATGTTACGACTTTATTCTCAAAATAAAAAGCCTGGCCCTAATATTCTGTCGTATAAAAGAAAGTTTTTCACCTCTGAGCTTTAGATTTAGCCCATGTCATATTAAGCTGAGCTCTTTGGTTCAGGAGTAGATTAACAGAAGGAATGTAATATATTTAATATATTACATTCCTTCTGTTAATCTACTCCTAAACCAGAGAGCTATATATCCAGAATCCTGATCTGCTCCTCAGTCAGTCATCCATGTTGCCTTTGCAGGCTTTTCTACCACAGTTTTCCTTCCACCCAACTTTCCTGTTAAACTGACTCTATCCCTTTCGGCAATGAGTTGACATGACTGTGCAGGCTGTAAGCTAACATTTTTGTATGAATTATTTTTGATTAAATGTCTTATATTCAAATTTTCTGAGACACTTAATGTTGTATTTTCCTCATCTCTTGGCTGCAATCATTAAACTCAACAAATTCTCCTTGTGTAATTTATCTGAATTTTCCACCTTGAAAGTAATATTTATATTTTAAACTGAGACACATTTTTATTCACATCCCTCTAACAACACTTGGAAACTCGTGATGCTTGCTTTCTACACCTTTGTACCCTTAAACTAATAGATAAAATGGAACTTAAAAGCTTCCTTTCTTCCATCTCTCTCTACTAACACTGCTCTAAGTCCTCTATCCAGTTACTAAACTGTTCTACAGTATTCAATTCATCACCCTTTTCCCTTTTGTTCCCTTTATTTCTTTTTCACATCATGTAAGACAAAAAAAAGGCAATTGGATGTTTCTTATATCAACCAGCCAAATATGGTGAAACATATAAAGAGGGGGAAAAGTGGCACAAACGATCTTCCTTTCTGTGTGTCGTTTGTGACCTTTTATTTGCTGTTTTTATTTTTTGGGACTTGGAGATGATGCACACCTTTTTAATCGAGCACAGTTTAAAAAAAAAACAGATTTCCTATCTGTTATGATCTAAACTGCCTGTGCTATGAATTCTTCTCTCCTCCTCTTCTGCTTCACTGTCTTTGTTGTAATGTTATTACCCCCTTTAGATGTCTCGAATAATCCGAGTTTATGATGAGGAGAAAGAGATTAATACCCAGGTAAGCCGTTTCAAATAGAGCTTCGATGTTCTGTTCCCTCCCACTGAGGCTCCAAGAAATGTTTGGAAACTCCAACAAATCTAAGCTGCTGTCTTTAAATTAGAATTATAAAAGGTTTGGGAAACGGGTCACAAGGTGAACTAAAGTGTGTTTGATTGTCTTTGTTTTAATTTTCCTGCTACCATTTTCTTTTTCATGTTATAACTTTCTGTTCATGGTTTGGTAGTTTGATAAGATCAGAAATATAAGTGTAACAGGAGAATATGATGCTACATGATGCTACTCCAAAGCTTACTGGAGAAATATCGGTGTGGCATTCATGGCCATGCTTCACTGAACTGCTAGTGAAAGAAATAGTAATTTAACTAAAAAGAACTAATGCAAAGCAAAAATAAACGCCACATTTGACAGATCTGAGGAATTAATCACAAGTTTTACTTTATTGAAACAAATCAGGATCTCTGTGGAGTCAATTTTGTTACATTATCACACAACAGGTTTTGCAGAAAGAATTAAATCCAGAAATAAAACTTTGAAAAATGTTTTTAATTAAAAAAAAGGATATAAGAGTAATTTTGCTGTAAAAAAATAAATTTATTTTATCATTTCAAGTATATTTTTTTATGGATTTTATATTTTTTATTTCTTTTTATTTTAGCCTTTTTTTTTTATTAGTTTTACATATTTCATTCTTTTGTATTATTCAATGTCTGCATCAAGAGCGAGAAGAGAAGCTGATCTATAAAATGCAATCTGAAAACAATTCCTTAAACTCGGTGTGGAAATATTTTTGGAAAATTATTAGTTTTTTAAAAACCTAACATCTGTGAAATCAAAAAATACCTAAAAATTATGTTTTTAACGATGTCCGACATTTTGGCAATTTCTTTGACTTAATTTTTTTGTTTTCCTCTAACATACCACGACAGCAAAGATATTTTTCAGTGTGATTTAATGGCATTTAAATGTGGTGCGTTCACTGATCAGGAAAAAATTGTAGGATTTTTGGATTTCCTACCTGGCAGATGAAAATTTATCAAATGGATGAAAAATGATTTTTTTGTCTGGAGCTCTATGAATCACTAGGAACAATAATTAAACTGTTTTCAGCTACTTTATAGCAGAAGTATAAAAATAAAATAAAATTTAATTAAAAATAGAACATGCTCAAACCTTTAAATAATGATGTGATTTAAATGCAAAATATTAAATCATTGAAGTGGAAAATACCTTAAACAAAGGGTATGTGTGCTCCTTTAGCCTTTGACGTTAAGGTAATCTCTGTGTGAGGCTCTGAAATGGTGTTTTGGAACAATCTGTCTGTATTTCAAACTGCAATGTTCGAATTAGAGGTACTTTAGTCTGTGGTTGTGGTTGATTTGCTGTTTTAGACATCTTAAAAATGCATTTTAGGTTTGCTGGTTGATGCTCTTCAGTGGTGAAGGTGAGATGGATTCTGAGAGCAATAAGGCATATAATCACCAGCCTGTGGAGGTTAGATTGTTCTTTTATCTGTGAAAGAGTAAAAATATTTAAAATAGAATTCAGAGGAGCCTTTTTAGCCTGTTAGATAATTGTGGAAATGCTTCATGGAGCCACAGTGGGACAGGACAGCAGGACATCCCTGCTCTGTACAGCAAGCTTGAGCTGGGGCCTCCCTGCTACCTGGAGTCTTAACCAAATCTAATTTGTCTCCTCATTCTCCTCTTCCTCCTTCCTGCCTCAACCCACTCATGCCCCCAACCACCTCCCACTCAATGGTACTCGCACCTTCCTTCTCTATGCCACTCCTCACGCTCTTCTTCGACCTCTTCCTCCTCTTCCTCCTCCGACAGGCGGGATCGGAGATGGCGATATCCGGTAAGGCGGTGAGCCTGTACTTTGAGGAGAAGCTTCAGGAGATGTTCCCGAATCAAACCTTCCCCGACTCGCCGGATCCAGAGTCGTCAGACGAGAGAGAACGAGAGGAGGTGGAAACGGAGGACTCGGAGGACGACATTCAGCCCAGACGTAAACGGTTGAAAACGGACGAAAAGGTTTTTCACATCAAATAGAAGCGGACGTAAAAGAAAAAGAAGCAAGAAGGAAAAGGACTGTCTTCCTCACACTCCCCCACTCCTCTATTTTATTTTATTTTATTTTGGAGCAACATATGATGAGTACAAAGATTTCTTAAACTCATTCTAAAATTGTTGCCTTAGAATAAAAGTATTTGCAGGTCTTTTGTTGTGTTTATTTCTGTGAACCCCTGAGGGCGTAAAGATGGAAGCGCTGATCTGTGTGTTTCATGGACTTTAACCTGCTTGTACAAAAATTTCAAGGCTGATCTTTTTCTTTTTTTTAGTTGTAGCTACTGATTTAGTTGTGTTTTCTATCATCCATTTGCATTTGTAGAGTTGTAACAATTTCTTTATAAAAACATTTAACTTGACCTACTCTGATGTATATTATCTATACTTCGACATCGAGCCTACCAAGTATTTGTATGACTGTGTTCAAATGTTGTGTAAATAAGAGAGTCTACAGTATAGGTGTTTTGGTGCATCAATAAAACATCTGGAACTATACCAGAGAAAATATTTGTACAATAGGTTTGCATTTGTTTTAGGTTATAAAGGTTTTAGAGAACAGCTGAGACGACAACATTCAGCTGTTTGATGTTCAATCAAATAATACATTCAACTGTCTGGAAAGCTAAACTATTTTATAGATCTGATGGGGAAAAAACATAAAAGGTCTTTTTTCTGCAGTTTAGCCCTGATTAGCTTATAAACACAACTATGTACCGGGCCTTGGAAAAGTACAAAGAGCGTTTGTGAATATCAGCTTTTTGTCATACAAGGTTCTCTACTGGACTTATGTTTGGACTTAGGAACTATGTTCACGACTCAGATTTTAATGTTCAATTCATTTTTTTTTTTTTTTTTTCTGCATGGTCGTTCAGACACATGCAGCCACCATCTGACCCTGAACATTTCACAGCCTTAACGTGACCCACATCCGCAGGAGGACAGAGCAGACATTACACAGCAGGGTAATGTTTACGGAGGCCATGGGTGGATGTCTGTGTATAAGTTGTTAAACAATGAATGAGCAAAACAAGTAACAAGATAAAGAAGGTAAGAAAATGCACAGGAAAAAAAAACTGATGTGTCTGAATTAGCAACACATGCAGGAGTGACAAAATTAAGATTTTTTTTTTCTTTTATGGAAATGAGAAGATTTGGACTGGTTCTTTCTGACCTCTATAAAAACAGAAGATACAAGTTACATACGGCTCAACGTGTCATTGCTTCAGCTACAAAATTAATTGGCACGTCTGATTTTTTTTTCTTTCCATCAGCTGACATGATTTTATGCACCTGCTGGGAGGGAAGTCCCACAGCATGATGCTGCCACCACCATGTTTATCATATAAATGGAGTGTTCAAGGAAGGGGATAAAAAACCTATTTATATTTAAATCATAAGTATGTCTACATTCTGGTTTGTGTGAAATGTTTATGATATAATTTCACATTCAGAAGTAGGGCTGAAACAATAGGATTAATCATGATTGATTGATTGTAGAAATAATCGATAACTAATTTAGTAATTAATCGTTAACAGGAGTAGAGACTCAAAAACATGCTTTTAGCTGAAAGAGTGATCAAAATAGAGCCTTAATTATACCAAAATTGTAAAAAATATATAAACATTTTGCATATAAGATAAAAAAAAATTATAATTTTTCGTCTGTCAGTATGCCCTATCCAGAACTCAAGTGGAAAAATTCTTGTTTCACCTGATTTAATTTCTCAAAAGGTCTTCTCTTATGGAGGCTTTGGCTATCCGATCAATAATCGATTAATCGAAAAAAAAAAAAAAGGTAAAATAAGTATAAATAAAATAATCTTTACTTTTAGCCCTACTTAGAAGAATATGAAAAAAAAGATTTCTGTTAGGCGTCGATGTCTTTCCAAGAAGTGAGCCATATTGTTTTATTTTCATTGTGTTGCCAATCCTACATGGGCTAACTTAAAATTTATTCTGGATTTCTTTTTATTAGTTTTCAATAATCAAATTTGTGCGATTCATGACTAGTAGCTTTTCCTGCTGACTGAGCAGCGCATCTTTGCAGCTCCTCCAAAGTTTACAGATTCTCTGACACGTTTTTGCTTTTCATGTCAAGTTTAGTTAAATTTGAGGTTATGTTATTTAGCATGTCAGATTAATTACACATGAACTCAAAGGTTTTTAGATTTCAATTTGGAAAGCATTTTGAATACCATACATCCTTCTTCTCATCAGAGTCAAACGTTATTAGTAGTTTTGACAAAATATGCCACTTGTTTTTTCTAATCTGTTTGAGTTTGTTTTTATTATGCCCATATTTCCAGTTAAGATCACACCAAACCCAGCCCTGAAAACACTGATGTCATTTTCTCAATCAACAGGGAGATCTATGCTGCTTTTAGTTTTATTTTTAATTATTGTTCTCGTATTGGGTCTGTTATTTTAAACTGGGAGCTGTGCTCAGCTTTTCGAGTCATAACTTGTCTGAGAAAAACACGTGATGTTTCCGGAAACCTGCTAATAAAATCCCGCATGCTGACATCAGTGAACTCGTTGCTGAGTCGTCAGTCTGACAGCGGGTCAGCTGACACCGCTGCTTCTGCAGAAACTTGGATTCAGCATCGGATCTGATCTAAGCAGCTCTCTGGGTAGGTGGCTCCTTTAATTTGTTACCTTTAAAAAAAATAAATGCACATCATAAAAATGTCAGATCACTTGAAGCAAGCGATTGAATTGTACAATTATCAAAAGATTATTAGAAAAAAATAAAATTCTCTCATGAATTTGATCTACATTAAATGTAATCGTGGAATTATTAAATTTTTTGCAATAAACTTTGCGGAACTTGATTATGTAGTTATGGAACAGAAAATCAAGTTAAACCTGGCTTCAGTATTAGGGAATAAAGGTCCCCTCCGCTCAGCCTATAGTAATAATTCACTGTTCTTGGATATTTGCTTTTAAAATTAATAATTTCCTATGTTTTCAAAAATTAAAAAACATTTTATTTTGAAAGTCACTCTGCGCGGTTACGCCACAGGTCACATGACTGTGTTTGCGGTTCCGTTTCCCTGTCGAACCAACCAATCAGATCAGCAGCATATTGCAACCAACCAATCAGCTCGCGGGTGTCTGATGTATTTGGGGAAGCTGAATTCGACGGAACACCGGTGGGAGTTGTTTATCTGTTCTCCTTGTACGTTCCCGAAACTAGAGACGACGACGTTGTTGTTCTGCTTTCAGTGGGGACAGTGGGCATCTCCAAGCGGCCACACAGGCAAGACGAACCCAAACATTACACGTTTATAAACTGGTTACAACAGTACGCTGTTACTGAGCAGCTGGTAGCTGCTGTTGCTATAATCCAAAGTAGCTAACCGGCTATATATGAGTCATTCGCGCCCTATTGATTTACTTTGAGTATTTTTATGGATTTTTACGTTTTTTTACGTTGATCTAATCAACAGACCCGCAGTAGACTGAACTGAACACTCTGTTTTTTTTTTTTACTCTCTTATATATTAGATATTTTGCAACCTTTGGTCCCTTCAGAGTGGACATCTAAAGCCAGGGGTTAACAGATGTTTATATGTTTTAAGAAAAGGTTTTTCACTCTGTGGCCTCATATTCAAACCTGGTGGTGGGTTTTTCTTTATCCACATATCTGTTTTGCAAACCTTTTTTCCATCATTCGCTGCCTTGATGATATGAGGAAGTAAGCAGAGATGGAAATAATAAATGGTGTATCTTTTTTTTTTCAATGGGGGTGATAGTTTTGAATTCAGCTGAAAATGAATACATTTTTGATTTGGAAAAAAGTTTGCTTATTTATCACACCTAAATATATCAGATCTTAAAATGCAACATGTGTTTGAATTCCCATTTCCTCCTCTAATGGATAACTGCTTGACGACACAATCTTTACCTTCATTCTTTGTAGTTGTTACATTTCAGGGTTTCAGGGTCTTAAAATAGACATTATAAGACGATGATGCAGCTTTTCTTTTATGGCTAGTTAGTTCCCTGAAATGGTCCCAGACCATGACACTGTCGCTGCCGTGTTTGACCCTGGGTATGAGGTTCATGAGGAACCAAACGCATGCTTTGGCTTTGTCTTATTTATTTTTTTTTTTACTTTTTTAAGTATATATTGAATAGAGTGGGAAATAATCTGGATTTTCCTTGTTACCTGTGGAGCATCCATCAGAGCCGATTTAGTGAATTTGTTATATTACCCATCTCCAGTTCATTTGTTGATGAAGATCCTCTTAGGTAACAGTTATAGTATTCACTAACAGATTTCTCTCTTAACCAGGAGACGATGCGGAACAGCATATTTTTCTCATCGAGTTCGACCGGATGGAGCGATTCAGGAAACTTCACGTCCTTATGTCCTAATGGTTCCCAGTGGATTTGGGAAGGACTTGGGGAATGTGCCCAGGATGGGAGGGACATGGCCAGTGTCTATCTAGGTCTCCTGTCCATCGTTTGTTTCATGGTGTCCTCTCTTCCGTAAGTATTTAGTTGTGTGTTTTTTGTTGTTGTTGTTTTTTTTATTTTATTTTTTAACGATCATCTCTACCACCCCACTGATTATAGACAGTACTACAGCTCCTGTAAAAAGGGGAATATGGACAGTGCCCTGTCTATTTGGTTCCTGCTGCTGTGGTTGGGAGGTGATTCCTGTAACCTGGTGGGATCCTTTCTGGCTGACCAGCTTCCTCTTCAGGTGATTTTTGAAAACATGTTTTTTATAGGTTATATATCTTATTTTAAACCTGCCGTGTAACCTATAACATTTATGGTTTTGTTTTTTTCTTAAGTAACACCACAGTGATGATAATAAACTATCATATTTTTTTCAAGTTTTTATTGTTTAAGCAATTTCACTGTTTCTGATAATTCTTGTGTAATTTTAAAGCATCAAAAATTGTTTAAAGCAAACTTTTATTAGATATCAAGTTTGTTTTTTGTTTTATTTGGTTTGAGGATCATCTGTCTTGTTTTTTTATTGTAAATTAGACCTATACGGCCATTTATTACGTCTTGGCTGACCTCCTGATGCTGGGCATGTACACATACTACAAAATGAGGCACAGAATGACTCAAAGTGAGTATGATTTGAGTTTGTTGTTTTTTTTTCTCGATCTCCTGCTTAGATGAGCCTTGTTCAAGTAAAAAGTCTTAATTTCACGTTTTGATTCAGAAAATTAAAAATTAGTTTTCACACGGAGTCTGGTTTCAAAATCCAATCAGGCTGCCAGAAAAATATAAAGTGTGCTAAAGATTGTAAAAATATTCTTGCTATGATAAAGTCTTATTTATTTGTCTGAGCTGTTTAATTCTAAGAGATATTTTGGATCTAATCTGGAGTCCCCTCTAGTCTGTAACATGCTGGTTATCGTTTGCCATCCAGCAGTCAATCGTGATCAGTCATGCAGCTTAAATAGTTAAGGAAACATCGCTGCATACTGCAGCTAAGTTAGACAGAAAATGCTGAAATTAGACTCATAAAAGATTCATCTTAGTTTTTATCCCAGCTGACACATGAAAATATTTTATATACTGTATATATATATATATATATATATATATATATATATATATATATAATTTCATATAAATTAGATGAATTATGAAGGATGCCACATCCTTTATAAATTCACTTCAAACGTTGCTAATAGTCCAGAGTTGGAAACTCTGCAGCATTTAAAAGATACATTTTTTGTTATTTACCACATCTACAGTATAAAACATCACTGAAGCTCAATAACAACACAATGTCAGTGAAAAAATTCAACCAAAGATGGTCTGTAAATAAAGCAGGTCTTGTTCTAGTCAGTGGTAACAAACATCCAGAAAGATAAAGGAAATCCCACTGTAGGATTTTTAAAACTTTGAAGGCAACCAGACCTTTGCTCATATTTTTTAGGAAGATGTTTTGACGCCTATCCAGGAGTCTTTGGCAAATATGTCGGCTCACACTAATTTAAGTCTGTTTTGTGGTTTCTATGACCCAGATGACTAAGAATCTACACAGCCATTAGGCTGGTGTGTTTTTTTATTTTAATCATTTTATTTCTGTGTTTGAATATAGCGAAAATACTACAGGGTTTTCTCCCTTACCTGTCACATGGCAGCTGGAGTAAAAACAAATATTAACAGTTAAAACTTACCAAATATATGAGCTGCTGTTGTGTTACTGAACAACTGGTAATTTAAAGAACGACTTTAGAAAACAAAGCTGCTTCCTGCAGACAAAATGAGCCTGTTGTTACTGAGCAAATCTCCACCATTGCTAGAAGGATAATACGTCTCCTGCTTTGGGTTTTTCAATGAGTAATTTGATCAAATCCATATTGCTGGACAATATCCTGAAGGTAGAAATGAAATATTTTCCTGGGCTTCAAATCAAAAATAGAAAATGAAGCAAAGCTTTCATAAGTCATCTCTAGTCTACTTGTTATTATTTACCAGCAAACAGTTACTCATGGTTTAAATTAGCAAGTCTAAACCTGGTTTTGGAGCTATTATTATTACTTATATCATATATTGCATCCCCCTGTATGGCGGTGCTGTTGTATAATGAGTCATCTTTACTCCAAACCAGGCTTCAGTTTTCAGTAGTTGTTTTTAAATGGTTGTAATTATTAAAGATGAAACTGTTGTTCCTTCATCACCAGGCAGAAGTGTTTTGCATGTTGTTGGTGTTTCTTGCATCCTGGGCCTCACCGTAGGCCTCAGCCCCCTCCCTGGGTTCGGCTCGCCAACTGAAAGGATTTCCTTCGGGTTCAGAAGCCGCTCTTTGCTCTCAACCACTGATTTTAGCTCTATCAAGGTCTGACCTTTTTTTTTTTTTTTCTAATTATTATTTCTCTGAAAGAAGTGAACTTTTTATGTCTGTTGACATTAATTCTTCCTCTCTGTTACCTCAGGCTTTTACCCCTAAAGAGATCATTGGTTTCTCCATTGGGTCAGTGTCATCAGTCCTCTACCTCTGCTCCAGGCTGCCACAAATGTACACTAATGTGAGTATGACAAACTGCTCCCTGCTAAAATGATTATGTAGGTAAGATTTGTGTCTAAAACACAACCTATACAGGTGCTGGTCATTTTAACCCTTCAGTTCATAACACTGATATCTTTAGGGATGAAGTGGAAACATCTGCTTAAGGTTTGGTACCGATCGCACATCAGGAAGTGTTTAAAACCCAAATAGTTTAACTTTTTTTCTTATGTCACTGTTTGACAAGGTTTTTATGACTTTCATAAATCTTATCTATCATCAAAAGGGATTAGAGGGATTATGTTTTCATTAGGAGCCATAATCGGCCAGATTTTACTCGATTCAAATGGAAAAATGAGGACTAGAACCACAATTACTGGACATGTTGAGCAAAACAAGGGTTTTTAATGGTGCATTCAGACCATGGTGGCTGTGGCAAACGCGGTGGATTCACATAGAATTCCTATACAAACCGGGCAGTGGCGAGTGGTAAACTCCAGCGTTGAGAGCGTTCACTGCTCCGCCCTCACTTTGTCCTACTAGATAGAGCTGAGGTGTTGTCAAACAGCAGCACCGCAAGAGAGAGAGGAGCGATGATCGCTGAAGATAACACCAGCTGATCTTTTCTATGAAATCGCGACAAAGGAACCGACCAGCAGTCAATCATAAAATGGAATAGAGAGAAAATAATGTCGAAAAGGTAGAATTAGGGAATACTCTCAAGAGGTCTTTAGGTGGCTTTGAAAAAAGACGTTTTAAATTAGTCCTTTTAGGCCTGTTAATCATCCTGTCTTATCTCCAGCACAGAGCCCAGTCTGTCATTGCCCACTGCTCAGCATCGCTGCTTTTTGCGGGGATAGATTTACAAGGAGGTACCGCCGAATCTGACTTGTGATGCAGGCACAGCTCTGGATGAATCAAAGTGAAATCCTTTTTTCAGAGCCTTTGGGGATAGTCTCCCCAAGGCAATTCAAAAGTTGTTCATAAAGAACAATTTAGCAGCAGTCTCTGATGATATGGTTCACCTGTGCTTTTATTGTGAAATGCCGGCAGTGAGACCTTGACAGGAAATGAAATGTGGTTGGCAGGGGTAACGGTAGGACTAAAGCAGAGGGTTTGGTAGGCTGGTGATTTACTAAATATTAAAAAAATCCTTCCAGCCTCTAAATAAGGTAAACATTCTCACTGTTATATTCGATACCAGCACAGGAAGTACATGTATATCTTTATATCAGGAAACGAGTACAGCACTAACTTCTGCTGGGATGGTGACATCATCGTGGTTGATTGAAAATAATTATCTTAAACCAACCTTAAGACCAAATCAGCATAAAAATAGTTTTACCTTTCCAAAAAAGTTAAAAACCAAACCACTGGAATTTGTTTTCCAAGTTTTTAGATGTTCTGCTTCCCATCCCTAAAGCTTTCTCAATTCAAAATGTCTGGTGTAGCGTTGAGTTCCAGCCTTGTAGGGTGGCCCTGCTTATAGAAAGCCTTGTTATGGCTCAGAAAACATTTGTTAGGGGGGATAGTTGACCTCAGAGTGAGCTAAGATAATCTTTAATATCTCTGAAACAACAGCAGCACATCAGATCTGTTTTCATTTTTAAATGTTTTCATTTTTACAAATGAGAATTTTAAATGCACAAACCTGCACTAAAGAAGTAATAACTATTACTGTCTATTTGCTGAGTTTGAAATGCAGAGCGGTGAACTACCTGCAGGGTTGGTGGAAATAACGGCCTCCACCGCATGCAGTCTGAACGCACCATGAGTAGTGAGAGCTCAATGATTTGACTTATCTCTATAATTCATGAAAATCCTACACCACAATAATAATAAAAAAAAAATTATTGGTAACCGCTTCAGTACATGATTCAGAATCACTTGCTTGTATGCTGCATTTTACAATGTCAGGCTGCGAACATTTAGACATAGGCGACCTCTAGAGGTCAGTATTTCAGACTCGCTTCTAATGAGCAAAATTCTGTCTTTGGGATTTCAGGGTCGGTATAGATATGTTTTCACGGGAAAGCGAGCTTTTGAAACAGGGATTATTTCTCTGTTTCTATAAACACATCTTACATGACATTTTAGTCGCAATTTCGCTGCCACACCACTAGAGGGAAACATGTTCTTTGGAACTGAGCATTGACATGCAAACATGCACAGGAAGACTTTCCTGTTTGTGCATAAAAAATATTCAGTGATCAAAGCAGACTAGTTTTGCTCCATGCTGGCGTACAACTACAGACCAGCAACGCCTGTTTTCTCAGGAAATAACATTTATAGAAAACCAGTTTTCTGTGTAACGTTTGGAAACTATCCCAGTCTTGCTGCTGTGTTATATTCCAGTTTGAATGAGTGGCGGTGCCTTATTAATAGGGTTACAAACTTTCAGAAATGGAAATAAGGGACACGGGGGTCCTAGAGAAAATTCATTGGCGCAGGGGTCCCACCCCCAGAAAATGTTGTATTTCTTAGATGCAATTTCCTGCTTTTTAACCAAATTGTGTCCCGTTTCAGCTCAACACAGAACCATACCGTACTTTTATTTTGTTATTTTGAGCGTGGCTTGTATTTTTTGCAATAAGGTACAGCCAATTCAAATAATTAATAAATGGAAATGTTAAGTTTGCACAGTATCATCGCGCACAGAAATCCTCCCACAAACCAATGGCGTGCTAGAATTTTTTTAGGCTATAGGTAAGATTACCGGTATTATATTGTTATTTTTTTTTTGTTGCTTATTTTTGTTTTTTTTTTTTGGTTGTTAGTTACCCAGTTTATTAAATTACTAATTTTGTTGTGCTATACTTTTCCTGCCAACCTGCTGTGGCCCCCCAAGGTCTCCCGCCCCCGCTTTGAAAACCACTGTCCAAGATCATAATGGATATAAAGTTCTACGTGTTTGTTTGAATGCAGTTGAGCAAATCAGCTGGGCACTTGTCATGAATAATGTTGCAATAGATGCTTCAAGTTGGCGTGCACAGGCACACAGTTTGTAGAACTAGAACTAAACATGAGGACCGTCACCAGGAAACCATGACAAACGCCACAAGAAGAGAGATAACTGAGTGGAGAATGCTTTAGACCGACAACGTCATAAGGGGAAGGCGAATCAAGAACAGTAGGACTCTAAGCTATCGCTACGAGAGGGAGGGAGAGAGAGAGAATGAGGACAAGCAGACATGGGTCACACTCGCAACAGTAGAGTTGTTCTGTGCACAAGTGCCACTGAAATTACTGTTTTTTAGTTATTCATGAAAATATGGAACAAATAGCGTCCCTTATCAGTTCAATACAGGACGTGTAATTTAACTTCCAAATACGGGAGCGTTTGTATGCATGTGCGTGTCGTAGAGTTTAAAAGAACATACAAACGGCATGGCAGGGAACTTTAACCAGTTTTAATGTTTCTGCTGCTTTGTGCATGGAGGTCATGATTAAAGCATGAATTTGTTGACAGAAACAAAAAACAATCTAGTTTTTAGTAGATCTATGTGCTTAAAGAGTGCATTGTTTTGTGTGTTTGTTTTAAGAAGCTAGTGCCTCTTCTGCTTATAAGTCATCACAGAGGAGGTCTATGTTGGTAAGCAGAAGATGAAAATAGAAAAAGGGTTCATTAAGATGAAAAGGAGAAGATTTTATGTTCATAGATTTTGTTCCCTATGCTGCAATGTGCACATAAGTTGTGAGTATGTAAAAGAAGTGAAAACGTTCCCCATTCCTTGTTAAGATGATCATTTCCTCTGCGGTTGTCTCGTTTCTCATCACAGTTTAAGAGGAAGTCTACAGAGGGAGTGTCCTACTTCTTATTTGCCCTCGTCATCTTGGGGAACACCACGTACGGTCTGAGTGTGTTGCTGAAGAACCCTGAGCACGGCCAGGGCGAGAGGAGTTACCTGGTCCATCACCTGCCCTGGCTCATCGGGAGCCTTGGAACACTCACCTTGGACCTCATCGTATCCTTTAAAAAATAAATACTTCACCTGATGCCATATTCCTATGAGATGATGGCTGAAAGTCTCTGGTTTAGAGTGAAACAGGTAGTGCAGGGTCAACAGTGTAAAAAGAAGACATTGGCTCCCCCTGCTGGTTGCTTTGTTTTTTGCTACAAAGGTCCTCTATCAGATTATTAGGTTATTTACTGTTGAGTATGAAGCTACACTCAAAGTCTTTGCATAAAATAAGGAAGAACAGAAGTGATGGGATATCTTTTAGCATTTTCTCGTCTAGTTTGGACACTTCTAATACTTTAAGAGCTCTATTAACTCTAAAACAGCCTGTTCTGGATTTAAGTTTTCAGAAGTGTTGGTTTGTTGTTTCTTGGTGGAATAGCTTGGATGGATTGTTCTGGAATCATTACAACAGGTTTACTATTAGCCTAACTTAGACTGAGTTCAGGAATTGTTTGAAAGATTTCTTGACGCTGTCAGATGGAGAAATGATCTGCATAACAAAAAAAAATCTGCCAGGGTTCAATAGTGCTGCTCTGTTTTTGTAGCGGTTTTACTGACATTTACTCAGCTTTTTTTGCCTAGTTTTTTAGGCTGCTTTTAATTCCAACCACTGCTCTTTGTTTAACTGTACTCAACCGAGTCTTTTTCATTTACACACATTATTTAGGGTTAACAACCTAACGCAGAAAAGCTTTCCTTCTAACTTTCAGCCTTTCTAGATTTTACCTTGCCTTGTTTGGGGAGGTTAACTGTTGATAAAAATGTACAAATACGTAGATAAAATTATAAATAAAAGTCAATAATGTAAATAACTTTAGGGCTTTTATTTGTTCCTTGTTATCAACTCAACATGTGACATCAGATCTTCATTTGTAAGAAGTTTAGAAGTTATTAATACAAGTTAGAAAGTTACAGCTTTGCTGAAATACAAGTTACATATTTTCAAGTACTTAATGCACAAATTTAGCAGCACAAATCAGAACTTTCTGAATATAAGTCACATATTTACAAGTATGAAAGATATTAGTACAAATAAAAATTAAAAATAACATATTTACGAATACGAATCACAAATTAACTAATTTATGCGTACTGTTAAAACATTTAGAAGTAAGAATCAGAAATGTACAAGTACTTTCCTGTACTTTCCAATGTTAAGGCTGGGACCTTTATAAGAAGAGCAGTTTGAGTTGTTGTTAGTTTTCATGTCCCTCTTTTCTGTTTTTACAGGAAGGTATAAATATCCTGTGGCAATAAATATGTTTCAATTACTGAGTGGATAACCAGCTTATCCTCAGTGTTGGGTTTAGTTTAACTGGACCTCATTAATCTCTCAAAACCTGTTTTAAAGCATTTGCAAATAACTCAGACTGCATGAAAATTACACTGGTAAAATGTTTACCAATATAGACATATTAGACATCATTGGGAAGCTTAGATTCTCCACAATTCAACCACCTTGTTCATTTTATGGACACAGCGAGCATCAAAGCACAATTAACACAGATATAGCAGCCACAACAAGCAAGCATGTCTTTATAACTGCTGTTCTAAAAAGACCTATCATTTTTGAGAATAAAAAAAGCAACTTTGAGTGTTGTTTCAACTGATGCTTGGGCTTGATGCAGCATGGGTGTTTTACTCAACCGAATTTCATGTATATATTCAGAAACTAGAAGGTATTAGCTTTTAAATAATGTATGACACATGTAACTTGGGCTTACAGTTCCTAAGTTATTTGCTTTTCCATTTGGGTATGCAAAATAGGCGAGGATTGCCCAAAATTAGATTGATATTAAGAGGTTAATAAATAGAAAGGGAAGGTTAACCCTGCTGCTTATTTCTGTTTGTCAAACATCTTTTTTTTTTTTTTTTTTTCAACAGAGTGAACAGTTTATTCCTTTTTTTTTTTTTTTTTTTTTCAACAGAGTGAACAGTTTATTCCTTAACCTTGCTGCTCAGATCTCAGTGCAGTTCTTTATCTACCGTAATGCCCCGGTTCAGAACGTGAACGGTATCGTCGTCAATGATGAGACGGCGCCTCTGATCAGCAGCTGAACCATCAAACGGACGACATCTTGGAGAAACTCTCCTCCAATCAAACCCGCTCGGTTTCAAACTCACTTTTAGTTTTATTTATTACGTAGCCATTCTGTTTAATGTTTACAGATTCTTTTATTCCTGAAATCCGTGTATGGACAAAATGCTTCTGTTTTTGAGCGGATGGTTTCAGACATGGAGTTCTGAGTTTCACACCAAGCCTTCTGTTAATGTCCAGTGATATCTGGAAGCTTTGACCATTCCCTGGAGGTTTACTCTGAAATACCAACGGTGCTTTTATATTTGCGAACGGTTGGTCTGACCGCCATGCACACGCAGCCCTGTGTGCTCTGGTTTAAGCGGGGCACAATAACGTCGCTATCTGTTATGTTTTAAGGCTTTAGGAGATCTATAGCATGTTTAGTTTAGATCTAGTCTCTTTTTAATTTGAAGTAAAACAATGTGCCAAAAATTTTTATAACAAAAAACCCAAACATTTTTTCATACAAATAAATTTTTTTTGTTAAAAAAAAAATGAAGGTTTCTTAAAACTATTGTTTTAATTTTTAGATTTGCACATTGTATTGTCTGGTTTTGCACATTTTAATGTGAAGTTTGTTTTATATTAGAGATTTTAAGCATATCTGATTGGTCAGTGTACTAGAAAGAAATAAACACATTAAAAACATGTTTTTTTCCCTCTTATTTCGTTGTTTTATTTTTTTTTTATCATACACATATTTTCCTCCCCTTGAACATTTCCACATTTATTCATGTAACAGTCATAACATTAAAAGGCAGTTCTTTGGGTTTGATTAAAACTGACAAGTCAGACAGATCCGTGACCTGTTTCTAAGAAAGATTCTCAGATTATCTTTCAGATAAAACTTAAAAGTGTGGAAGGTTTTTAGTCAGTCCCTCTGGGTTAACCATTTATAGGTCCACATTTTGCCGAGTTACAGCTGTATATCTTCAAAGGAATATCTCTTTTATCTTTACCTGCAGAAACAGAAATATATTTTTTTTTTAAACATATTAGCAGAAGTTCAGTCGGCTTTAGATGGAAAATTTCTCTCTTCCCACATTCCGATCCTATCACCTGGACCTTTGGACATTTTTCACCTCATCTGATTGAAGCATCTTTGTGGTTTCCTTGACGATTTGCTTCAACTGAAAAGAAGACCTCTTGGGTTTCTTTATTTCCAACCTTTCATAAAAGCCCATGCTTTAAAGCGTATCACCCAGAGCTGCCCTGTCAGCAGATTATTCCTCCTGAGCTGTGCATCTCTGCAGCACCTCCAGGGTAACAGGCCTATTGCCTGGTTCACAGTGGAGTGAATTTTGTTCCATTATTGTTGCAAAGAACGCATTTTGTACATCAAAATTTGAAAAAAGAAAAAATGCAATCTAGATTTGAGACTTTAGAGAAATGTTTTAATCAAAAGAGGTTTTAAGGGTTTTCATAATTTTTTTTTATTATCAGTCTATCTGTATATATCTCTATATATGTGTGTCTGTATAAATGTATTACAGAGATATTTGGTGGAAGCAGGATACTCCCCGCAATGAAGCCTGCTGGCACTTTTGCTGCGGGCTGAGAATCCTACACGACCCTCCATTTCCCATGAGTCATTGCGGGCCAACGTAGCTTGGTCAGCTCGGAGACAAATGGTGGACGATGGTGGCAAAAATTGTAGTTAAAAAATCTCTATATTATGCTTTATAAGACCCAAAATAAACATTGAAGGTGTTTTTAGGCAAGAATGTTAAAGACAAATATCTGCCTTGTTGGTAACAGTTTCATTTAATTTCAAAGAGATGTTTTCTGATACCTGAGAATTCCCAACCTTTTTCCTCACAACTGAACTTTTCTACAGAAACTAACTGCTTTCCAGAGAAGGCAGTCCTAAAACACACACCTTATGTAAGTCACAATTTGACTGTGCTTTTCTACTTTCCTTCTGTTTTTCAGATGGACTTTTATGATCTTTTTTCCCAGACTTCAAGCCTGACACCAACAGTTGCTCTTGATGGGGACCAGTAAAGATGTTGGTAATGTCAGTGCAGCCCAGTAGAAATGCTTTGCTCCTTACCACACAGGAAAGGCCGCCCCTGAGGTAGACCATATGATCTGAAAAACTCCATTTGCAAGGAATGCAGTTCTTAATACTCATTCAGAAAAAAAGGAAATTTGAAAGACAAAAAAAGAATATAAAATCTGTGAAAAAAATAAAATTTGAAAGTATGAAATAACATTTGAAAATAGATATTTTCGGATGTTGGATCGGGGAGTGTTGGCCTAGTGGTTAGAGCTGTGCAAGGGTGTAACTTTTTGATGAAAGTTGTTGGGGACACTCTAAGGGTGGGGGCTGATGGACCTACACTTACTCCACCCGAACGCTTTCATTAGGTTTTTGTTTTTTCCAAAAAATGAGCTCAAACATGTATTTATTGAATGCTTTCCTATTGTTAAGAACAAATGAGAACCATAATACACTGATATTTATATTTATAGATCATTAGAGAGATGCATTTTAGTGCATTAGATATGTAGAGCCTAAAAACATTCATGTATGAAAAAACAACAAATAATAGCTCATTCTGATGCCAAAATCGATATATCATGCATCCATAAAATGTACAATTTCAATTCCATCCATCCAGAAAAATATGGATATGCTACATTTTAAATATAGAATAGAATATTTTTTTCTTGTAAACTTTCTGGTAAAATTGGAGATCTATTTTATTGCATGTTGCATATCCCAGTAAATCTGTGTCACCTTTAAATCTGCAGCTCTCCCTACTTCTCTGTGTTCTGTTTAAAAAGATTTATGAACCTCTTTAGTAATATAATGATGCCAGAAACAAAGTGTCAAGATATGTAGAAGCTCTGCAGTCTGATTCTGTCTGTACAATAAGAAAACATGTTAATTTTAATCTGTAATTGAGAGTCATGGTTCTCTGAGAAGCCCAGCTTCTTTAACTTGTAAAGAAGAACACAACATTTAAACTATGTTTTCTCAAGTTTCTTGCTAAGCTTGGGCAAGTCAAATGTCTTAAAGTGACATATCTGATGATGTCACACCGAGAGGCGGTACACGGGAGCAGCGTGAGAGAGGAAAAAACAACAAAACGCTCTGAACACTGATGGCTGCATCCAACCTCTGTTGCCTTTGGTGAAAGTAAATGAGCGGAAAGGGGAAAAAAAGCTGAGATTATTGGGGGGACATGTCCACACCTGTCCTTCAGAAAGTTACGCCTGTACTCTGAGAAGGTTGCAAGACCCGGTTCAATCCCCACAGCCAAACTCTGGGTTCCTGAGCAAGACCTTTAACCCCACACACTCCCTGGGTGCCACACAATGGCAGCCCACTTCTCCCCAAGGGGATGGTTCAAAATGTTAAATTACTCCAGTGTGAGATCAGTAAAGTTCAGTTATTATTATTAAAATTGAATATTAGATCATGAGTAGAGAGAAGATCAGTTACTACTTGAGTCGTTATTTTACCAACCACTTTTTTGTTCTTCTCATTTCTTGTATGACTACTTTTTGCTTAAACAAAAATACAATTAAGTATTGTTGCAGTACAGTTTTTAGTCACTTTGCTTTCTCTTATTTGTTCGCTCACAAGATTTGAAAAACAGAAAAATAATAATTTTTGGGAGGCACCAGAACTGCTTGGTTTAGCACTATTTTTGAGGTTATTTATCTCGACACACAAGAAGCCAAGGTCTGAGCTTGGCCTTAACGTTGACCTCCGACCTCTCGCTGTGGCTGACACCAACGCGCAGCGGCCTACGTTTTGACCCGCTCCTGGGAGGCCCTGACAGCCACGCTGTTTTTCTTCATTAGCAGAATCACGCTGACCCCTCCATTGCACCCTCCTCCCTCCTAGCACACGGACACACACTTCCCCACTCTCCATCACACATAATGAAACTCACACCAGGGCCCACCCAGCCAGGAGGTACTGAAACAGAAAATATTAGAGCTTCAGTTACTGCTTGTGTGTGTTAGTCAGCAAACAGTGGCAGAAAGATTGTTAAAGAGGGAGTTAAGGAGGTTTGCAGGAAGAGTCAGTGATAGGACGCATCCATCCATCATCAGGGATGAACAACAGCCTGTTTATAAACACTATATGCTGGGAATTTCTTAATGAGGCACTTCCAGTGCAAGCACTTTTTTTTTTACTCCGGCTGCCGGATAGTTTAACCAAAAAGTGCCTCAAATGCTAAAACTTAACACTTTATTATTTACAATGCTGGATTTATCTATCTTACCACACATAAACCTTTTCTATAATATTACATTTACATCTAGAAATGGTTGGTTTATCTGAGGTGTGTTCAGTAGGTAGAAAACTAAACAGACTGCTGATAGCAAATAAAATGAAACCAGTGCAGCTGCCAAGGTGTTAAAAAGCGCTTATTAGGGTTCTTACAAACATGCAGAATTGAAAGATAAGAGTAAAAAGTATTATAATCCTGCATACATTTAAATATTGTGTTTACCAATATATCATATATATATATATATATATACATATGCACACATCCATCCACACAAAAATACACAGAAGCACGTTTTCTATCCTCTTAGGGACTTTCAATTCATTTCTAAGCCATTTCTACAGCCTAACTGTGACCCTATTACCAACATAGGCCGAACCCTAATCTCAACTCAAAGAACAAAACTTTAACATATGGGGACCAGGATTTTGGTCCTCTAAGGACATAGGGCCCTACGACTTGACTGTGTATGTCGTGGGGGGGTCATTTAAAACGGGGGATAAAATCTAATTCAGCCATGATTATAACAACCCCACCAAGAGCAGTGGTTTAATATCCAATCACATTTAGACTTAGATTTATTTATGTTGTATACGTAAGTGTAAACAAAAAAATTTTTCGTTAAGAACTGCTCTCTCTCATTTTTTTTTTAAAGCGCAGCCTTGAAAGCAGTAAAAAAATACATAAAAACAGTGATATAACATATGACTGTATATGTACAGTTCAATTTTTTTTAAAATATGGAAATAACCCATTTTAAATAACATTCAGCAGTTTAATGGCGGTGGGGAAGATACTGTTCTGGAATCTGCTGGACCTGCATTGAATGCTTCAAAGTCTCCTCCTAGAGGGCAGCAGGGAGAACAGTCCATGATGGGGGTGTGAGGGGTTATTTATGATGTTACGGGCTCGGGACACGCAGCGCTGGGATGAAATGTCTTTAATGGAGGGAAGAGGAGCCCCGATGATCTTCTCTGCTGTTCTCACCACTCTTCTCACTTTCCTCCAGTCTGAGGCGCTGCAGCCTCCACACCACACAGTGAGACAGCTGGTCAGAACGCTCTCTATGGTGCTCCTGTAGTGTGGTGCTTCTCATACATTTGCATCTAAAGCTGGACTGGGTCGAGGCTCCCGGAGGCCATAACCAGAATTGAATTTAGGACACACCTCCTGATAATAACATGAACCACTAACAGTATTAAAAGTGATCAGGGATACCAGGCTGATTAGCTGAGATGCATTAGTTAAATTTGGTGAACTTAACCCAAAG